TTTCTTTGTCTCAATTCTTTTACATTAAGATGTCCCAAATCAATAGGGCTGGCCTTAATTCGAATAAGGAGCAAAAACCACAAATAAAAATGGCCGCTGTGCTTCCTGCTCCTTTGCACCTCTTGTTTTAGCAGTGAATCTATACTGTGTATGTTTTATGTACTGAGAATTTCGGGTACTCGGACGTGGGAGGGTGGGCGAGGTTACGTGTAGCTTGCAAAGTTTTCGAGGGTTTATTTGTCCACAAAACACACGACCTGTGTTTGTCGTTGGATGTTGAGCAGATATGTCTCATTTTAATGGTGCTTTGATTTTGTGTTTTAATGTGCTGGTGCAGATGATACTAAATGAACCATTCCGCTGGGGGGGAAAAAAAAATCGACAAACCGCCCTAAAACCCTACAGCGGTTAACGGTTTTATATTGAAGAAAAATTAATTTAAATTAAATAACATTTTAAAAATAAGTGTTACTGTGATAAAGAAAATGTATTTAAATTGATGGCAGCCAGATTTAAAACAAAAAGGTAAATATTAAATTTAAATTAAAGGTCTACATGATTGATACATATATAACATATATATATAATATAATATATATATTTTTATGATTAAGTTATGAAGAAGAAGAAAAATGTACTGTATACCCGTTCTGTGGAAGCTATGCATCTTGTTGTGTTTATTTCTTATTTACTTTCTGCAGTGTTGTGCTTTTACGGATAATTAATATTGCATTTAATTTGTCTGTGATGCCGTATGGATATGTCTGATATATATATTTTTTAATCTGTGTGTGAATGTATATCGGTATAGATATATACGCACATGCATATCCAAACAGAAAAATAAAAACTCTTAACGGTGAAAAAAATATATATAAAATTATATTCTTAATGAGCTATGTAATTGCCTACCCCCGAAGCACACGGTTATTTTTTACTGCTGGGATATTGAAGAGGTTTTTTCTGTGTTGCTGCCAGTGGCTTTAAACGCCGCACAGTTATCCCGCACCCCTCTTGTTTGGGTCTCGGCTGAGCAAAATTGAATAAATGTTCTGTGATCAGCCTCACTCATTGTGTTAAAGTGTCACTCATTATGTGTGCGCCTGTATATGCTAATATATGTCTGAGAGGTTGTCTTAAGTGCGGCCATTTTTTTTTTTTTTTGCTAGAAGACAATTCTCAGGAGTGAACTGGTAAAAAAAATTAAAAGTGCATCTGTCACCTTTGATATTTGCGTCTCTTTTCCAATATAAATTGTTACAATTTTTTTTTTTTTAAGGGCTTTTATTTGCGAAACTAAACAGCGCAATAGTTTTCAAGATATAATAGCAAATTGGCGTTAATTAGAGATTTACATAATAAAAGAAAAGAAATATAGTAACGAGGGACTGTTTTGATATAAATATTGCATTAACGTGTGTAATTTTTGCAATTGCTTTAAGATAAAACTATTACCTGTCCACAGCCTCTCATTCCCCCTAAGCGTGCCAGGACATAGAATCTCTCAGAAGAAGAGTAGAGATCTAGTTTTAAGTGCAGGTTTATAGCAAATGGAAGAAATAAAAGTGTATTTCTCTATTTCACATTCATAATGGGTATATGAGAGGACCGAAGGAGGTGTAGTAGCAGCTAGTGAAAAGCCATAGGTTTTCCAATATCCTGGGATAGTAAATAAAATTAACAAATTCACATTTATTATATAAACATGCATGCGCACTTCTTATGTGAACGCTGGTGGAGAAGACCTTATTTCTCACGTTGTAGCTGCTTGGATCCTTTTGGGGAGGTGATAAGTAATATTGAATTCTGAGGATCACAATTATTTTTAGTATATACCATCTCACACATTGCAGTCCCATCACGTATCCCCCTTCTTAACCACTCACGGTATCATAAGACCCAGAGACACTTCTCAAAACCAGCAGTGCTCCTGTATTACCCACATTAACCTACTCCAGGAATACAGCCATTCTGTAGATTATTTATTTAATTAGATACTTTCCCTGTTCTGTTTCAGTCCTTGAGGAGTTAGTCAGACTCTAAGGGGCTTAACCATATGGGCTTGACATGGGATGAATTGTCAACCGGTAATACGTATGCACGGTCTAACAGGTGCTCAAGTATACAATAGCAGTCCTTATCAAAGAATATTAAAATCAAGGAACAAACTTCTAAGGGAGCCAGGTTTATTTAACGCCTTAAGGACCAAACTTCTGGAATAAAAGGGAATCGTGACATGTCACACATGTCATGTGTCCTTAAGGGGTTAAAGAATGTTGTTAGAAATGTATCTTTTAAATATGGAATCTAACACAGACACACTGTACTGGTTATAGCGCCAGATGTTTACCAACACTTCCAACATCGCCCCATAATTGCCAACACTGTCCCATAATTACCAACATCACCCCATAATTACCAACACTGTCCCATAAATAAGAGTAAAACTGTTTATGAATATTTTCAGAGGCACTGTATTGGTTATGAAGCTAAAGCCTGCGTAGTGTAAATACAGTACTCTGTTAATATACAAGGCAGGGTATACTGATATTGCAGCCCATAAATAGGCTCTCGGTGTACCCAGAAATCCCCCCACACTATCTAGCAGCACTGTTTTTGTGAGCCACATAGGCTCCAGTGCGAAGGGCAGAAGACATTCTTTAAAATTTCTTGTACAGAGACAGATGAGAGTACCAGTGTAGAAATGAGTCTCTATCAGTTACAATAAGCACTGCAGCTTAGAGGAAGGTACGTTTGTTTAGTCTGTTTTATTACAAATCTTTAGTTTTGCAAACAAAGGGGAAATCTAACGCCTTTATAGGACTGGAAGTGATTAAACTTTACTTTTATCGGCTTATACATTATCTTTAAGGGGTGTACAGTCTGAGTGAGACTGTATGTGTAAAAGATGCACAATTAAGTAGCCCTTGTATTATTAAGTAGATAATAGTAAATTGGAGGACAAAGCAGTGAAGTTTAGAAACTGTTAAGCATTTTATGGATAAAAACTGAACAAATTGGACAAATCATATTCTGAATGGATTCGAGTTGGGGGAAAGGTGCTCAGTGTCAATTTCAGGCTGCAAAGGCTAGATTGATTAGATTGATATGTGTGGGTATTAAAAGGGATAAATGCAATCATGAAACAGGTCAATGTTTCCACAAGGACAGCATTATGGATTTAGAGGAGGGGAAACAAACCTTTTCTAAGCTACAAATTTAAGAGAAATGTAAGATGCAAGCTATGAAGAATGATCAGAAAAGTTAGATTTATCATTAATAAAAATGATTACTTAAAGGGAATATAACAACATTGCACACAGACAGCCAGGCCTTAAAGGGACACTATAGTCACCAGTGAAACTACATGTATTCCTGACCCTGTAGTGTTAACACGACCATCTAGCCCCCCTGGATCCCTCATGCCTCCATAAATATAGTAAAAACCTTACTGTATTCAAGCCTGAAGCAGTAAATCTGCATGCTGTTAGACTCAGGAAAAACAAGCAGTCTGCTGATGTGGTAGCCTGATCCAATCACAGTGCTTCCCCATAGGATTGGCTGAGACTGACAAGGAGGCAGATCAGGGGCAGAGCCAGCATGATTCAAACACAGCCCTGGCCAATCAGCATCTCCTCATAGAGATGAATTGAATCAATGAATCTCTATGAGGAAAGTTCAGTGTCTGCATGCAGTGGGAGGAGATACTGAATCACAGGATGCTCCTGCACAGCAGATCTGAGTGGATGGAGACATATTATGCCTCCATCAACTCCGAAGTCCCTCTGGTTCACTCTGAGTGACTGCAACTGGAGGTGTTCCTAGCTTTCAATGTAAACACTGTATGTTCTTAGAAAATACAGTGTTTACATGAGAGAGGCTGCAGGGAGCTATAGTTCTCACCTGAACAACCTCATTAAGCTGAAGTTGTTCAGGTGATTATAGTGTCCCTTTAAATGTTACTTGTCACTGCAAGACACAGCATAATCACCAAGGCTACATTTACACCCCCCAATGGCTTGTTGGAATTATGAGTCCTGTACACAGATACACCAAAAAAAGCTAATGCTTTACGTGTTTCGTGCCCAGCAGCACTTCATCATTGCCTCTTCTGACAAAACAAGTAAACCCCCCCCACCCCCTCCGGGTTGTCCCAGTTGAGATTTTTGTATCTAAATGAAGAAATAAAGCTATTGGAATTTCCGATAGATTATCTTTAGGTTGACTGTCCTCATGAAATATAAGGTGGGATTTTTTTGACTGTCCTGAAATATAAGGTTTTCTTGTCTTATATGAACTGAGCATCAAAGAATAACTGGTTCAGGAAGCAGAGTAAAAGCAACCATTACCTCTTAACTTGACAAATCCTACAGAACAGCTAGTGTTCCATACTCAGTGTAAAGAATTATCAGAAGCTAGAGCCCTCTAGTGGCCACAATAAAATACGTGCACAAGTAACAGCTCTATAATAAAATCAGATTTCCATCCACACTTCATGTTATCTCCTGATAATATTCCATCATCATCACTGATGGGATCCTACACAAATATGGGGTGGTGACAGTGATCCTCAATAAAAAAAAAAAAAAAAATGGGGTGAGTGGGATCATTTAAAAAGACAGCACGCCACTCCCTTCACCCACAGACTTATGGACTGCCCAAGAGGAGGCAATAATTTGCCATCCGGTAGCATCTAGGGCAAATGCTGGAAGTCTAAAAATTCTAATTTCATTCAGAATCGAAATCCGAAGCAGATAAAACAGGGCTCACATAATTAAAGTGCTGTTGTTGTTTTTTTTTTTTTTTTTAACTATTTTTAAACTTTATCTCATATTTTTTATTTTATTTAGAATTTTTTAAAAATATATATTCCAGGTATGAAGGTTTTAGTTTTGCTTACATTCTGCTCTTCCTGCTATAATTCACGCTCCCTCTTGTGCACCTTGGTAGCTGATGCTGGCCAGCAGATCCGTCACCCAGCGAGGAATAAGAAAAATGACTGAAGCTTTGGAACAAGAACTAAATCCTGATCAGACTGTGTCCGGAAAGAAAGCCCATCGGGTTCAATAGCCCTCCACCAGATTAAAACTGCCAGAACTTGACAACAGCACACAAGCAAAATTGTATCAGAATTAATAGTGTAAAGAGCAAAAACGCTTCATTCAGAGCTTTTATTCAGCAACTTTCAACTTCGTGACAAACGTATAATAGTTCTTTTTTTCTCTTTATATATATTTTGGATTTCAATTAAAACATTATTGTAAGAATGCATTGTTAGAATATAGTTGCCCTGGCTACTGAAAATAAGTAACAAACCCAAGTCACAATGTGGATTTCCTTTTTTATTGTAAATGAAGAAATAATTATATTTCTATTATACAGTCCTTAAAAACAGTAGAAAAAAAAAAAAAAAAGGAATAAAAATGCAGGCTTGCATCTGGAGTGTGTGCAGAGCATGGAGTGTGGCACGATAAGCCATTTGACATGATCTGGTTGGAGAGAGCGTACCTGGCAATCAGCTGCTGTGAAATGAAAAGAGAGCTTTGGCCCTGTCCGTGCCTTAAACCTGTTCACATTATCCAAACTGCCAGTGTGTGCAGCCTTTCGGTGCCACGGATAATATGGGAGAATTGACCCCCCGGAGGATGGATGTCCCAGGTGAATGGATTAATCTCTTCAGAGCAGGCATTATTAGGTTGTTAGAATAGGACCCATGTCAGTCTTGTGGCAGGCTCATGTTATGTGTGATCGTATTCTGTAACTAATTTACCATCATTTTATTTTTATTCAAGTCAGGTGTTTTTTTTTGTGGGCTTTAACGATTTATTATATATATTTCAATTTAATAAATTAAAAAAATAAAACCCTCAAAAGTTCAAGTGAACATTAAAGGAACTCACCAGTAAAAAATATTTTTTATAATTAGAAGTTTTCTTTAAACCTACCATTTTAAATGTATTTTTTAAATATTAAAACCGTCATTAAACGTATCTTCTACAATCTGGACAAACTCCTTACTGCAGCCTAATACGCCTTTGTAGGAGAAGCAATGAAGCAATGTTTCTCATGCAGAAACGCACAAATCTTAACGTGTCAGATTATTTTACACACTGACGCTGGGTACCAGATACATTCAGCTATTGAATGTATTTCAGTCTGGCGCCTTTTGAAGGCATGGTAAGGCTGCAGAGGAAGCATCTCTGCCACATAACCACTTCATTAAGATGAACTGGTTTTGGTGCTTAGCCTGTCCATTGAAACTAATACATTGCACGCATCACATGTGGTTTCCTGGTGTGCACCTTTAAGTGCGGAATGTCCATTCCTCCAGGTTTACATCTCAATTTTAAACTTAATCAACAATCTGACGCTATTTAAAATACAATGTCTTAGACATTAAAAGTAACATCGGAATAAGCTGGTACACATAGAGCCAAGTAGGGAAATGCATTGGTTGAGATTGCTTTTGATCGGTCGCACGTTAAACCATGAGGTTCTGAAGACTGCTTTGTAGAAAAGTGAAAAAGGCAACAAGTATTACTTGGGCTGGGCTTCAGATTCCAAAAGTGCTAAGATACAATCTTATGCCCTTTACTGAAAGATTCACTGGCAGAAACGGGATAACGTGTATGCAGCTGAACAAGAGTGTTTTCGAGGGGAGGTGTGGATGAATGTAGCAGCCTGTTCCCTGTTCACACTGGAAAGTGCTGGTGATGCAGACTATTCACACACCGTTTACAGGTAACAAGGGCTGTAAAGGTCACAGTTCCTGCATCACTGGGGCTAGAGGTGTGTGTGATTTGGGAGAAAGGAAGAGCTAGCTTGAAAACAATAGTAAAGTTGTCCCGATTTCACAGAATCTCTTAATGCGTCTGTACTGCAACAGCACAAGTATAGCAGTGTCCGTGGCAAAGTTTAAATGTGTCCATCAAGGAAACGTGGCTGGGCTGGATTCTTCTTCTGGCTGTGATACAATACAGATGGCAGAGGTGGAAGGGTATGCCAGCTTGGCTCAGTTAGCAAGTCCAGACCTGGGAAATAACACAGAGAAATAAAACTGAGATCTTTCCTCGCAGGACCGTAACTGGCAAAATACACACACAAATGGAGGCTGAACCCACCTTTACCGTACTGTCCACTGCACCAGAGAATAGCCGACCTCGGGACACAGCCAGAGCGGTAACACTACCCTGATGTCTCAGTAAAGTCTGTGTGCAAATCATGTTATCCATACTCCATACCTGAGGAAACACAGAGAGGAGAGTAATCAAGCCAACTTACTGCACTCGTTCTGAGTTTGGGGGATGTGCCCCAGTGGGTCTTGTGATTGCTGGCTACCAAGGCACAGTCAGGGTTCCTTCGCTAGAATCTCAGAGGCAAAATTTAATCTAAAACAGCCACGGTGTAACTAGTTGGAGAATTTCTCTAAATCACTTTGATTTTAATGTATAAACAGGGTCCTCATCGACCGATTTCTCCTGTAACAGTTTGTAATTGTCTCATCTACTGTTAAATTTCCCCTTAGATATACAGAAAATGTATGGTATAGAATATATACCAATTAGTGGAGTGCTATACAAATAGAAATTGGCAGGGGTTGACTTACCCCATCAATCGAGTGTAACAACAAACATGAAATTACAAACTTCAAGGTATATACGGAAAATAAAAATAACAGAAATATATAGTATAGATGGTCTTGGATGATAATCGATGGTAAATAAATAACTAGAATCACTCACGTGGTCTGGAGCCTATATGGTATTGGCTCCGTAAAGTAAGCATTTTGCTCTTAGGGCAGCAACACACCACTTGCTCAATGATGTTCCTCCAAGAGAAAAGCGACCAATTGTGTGGTACAGTACAAATAACGGATAGTTCACCTCATTACTACGCTCACCTTATAAAGAGCCTTCAGTTACTGGCTCTAAGGATAATGAGCAGGGTGCCATTTTATGGGAATGGCACTTCCCCAATAAAGATTCCTAAAGGCTTCAAGGACTTGGTTTGGAATAAGTTCCAAATGTATTGTAAATAAAAACACGTATAGCAAAAGTATATAGAATAAAAAAAATCCAATTAAAAGTCCAGATCTGCCAAAACGCGTTTCACTCATCTATGAGATTTCTCAGTCAGCTGTAATGTAGCCTCAGGAATCCTTTGTCTTTTAAATGTCATGTGAGTCCTTTGGATCCTCCCTTTTGGGATCACACGATGTTCAGTTGGCCAATCCCAAATCCAAAATGTATGACAAGTGATCAGTTGCACCTGTATCTGGTTCATGGATTGCGGGATAAAACTTACCAGGAAAGGTTAAAGGATCTTAACATGTATAGCTTGGAGGAAAGACGAGACAGGGGGGATATGATAGAAACATTTAAATATATAAAGGGAATCAACACAGTAAAGGAGGAGACTATATTTAAAAGAAGAAAAACTACCACAACAAGAGGACATAGTCTTAAATTAGAGGGACAAAGGTTTAAAAATAATATCAGGAAGTATTACTTTACTGAGAGGGTAGTGGATGCATGGAATAGCCTTCCAGCTGAAGTGGTAGAGGTTAACACAGTAAAGGAGTTTAAGCATGCATGGGATAGGCATAAGGCTATCCTAACTATAAGATAAGGCTAGGGACTAATGAAAGTTTTTAGAAAATTGGGCAGACTAGATGGACCGAATGGTTCTGATCTGCCGTCACATTCTATGTTTCTATGTTTCTATGTATCTAGAGAACTTCTATTAGGTAATTGAATTTGCCGCTTGAAATTTGTATATTTATCATTTGATGGTTGAGTGATGGCTGTCCCGACGCGTCACATCTGGTCTGTGGTTGGAGGAAGAACGTGTGGCGCCGGACACAGCCCGTCACTTCCCCAAGTGGCTGGAAGAAGTGAAGCTGCGGATCAAGCCACTCGTCCCATCCGCCCGCCTATTGCAGATGCAACTTCTTGGAGGAACATCATTGAGCGAGTGGTGTGTTGCTGCTCTAAGAGCAAAAAGGCCTACTTTACGGAGCCAATACCATATAGGCTCCAGACCATGTGAGTGATTCTGGTTATTTATTTACCAATCGATTATCATCTGAGACCATGTATACTATATATTTCTGTTATTTTTCTTTTCCGTATATACCTTGAAGTTTGTAATTTCATGTTTGTTGTTACACCCGATTGATGGGGTAAGTCAACCCCTGCCAATTTCTATTTGTATAGCACTCCACTAATTGGTATATATTCTATACCATACATTTTCTGTATATCTAGGATTGATTGTGGAAATAAGGGTATTTCACTCTATGTGTTGAGCAGCTTTCTGTTTAGGCACTATATTGTATCACCAACTACCTCCTAGGATAGTTAGAGTTTGTTTTTATTGCTAAATTTCCCCGTTTATAATATTGGAAAGCCTTGTGGAATATGTTGGCGCCAAATAAATGACAATAATAATAATAAATCTTGATTAAATTCTGAGCACAAGAGTAGATTGTAGCTTGGTCTATGCCTTGTTGAGAGCAAACCGTGTACCAGCATGACTTCACCCTCTTTAGGTTCATCTCACTTTCAAGGATGCTATGCCCCTCCCCCCCACCCCAGGTACCCTAATAAGCTACACACCACCTTCCAGGGGAAACATATGAACCATATCTATGAATGAATCATCATTAACACAATTCCCTCCTGGACTACTCCTCTTTAGCTTTTTTTTAAATTAAAATTATTTCTTCCTTCCTCTTCTTCCCCTTAAAGCCCTTCTCTCCACTACTTTTTTTACATTGCTTGTCTCTCAGCTGTGACCTTTTATTGACCACGACCATTTGTGGATTACACTATATTTGTTTTTTCTTCCAACACTAGATGATAAGCCTTACTTATTGTATTGTGTAGTGTATCTTCTTATAAAACACAATGCAATATATACATATATATTTTTTTTTTTCATATACTTAAAATAGAATTAGTATCATATCTTAAATAAGGGTTTGTAGGCTTGTTAACGTGTGTGAATCATCAAAACTTTAATAAACAATATAAAAAACCCAACTTAGATCTTCCTAATGATCACACTAAAATACATTGCAGTCTCCCAAAATCCTCCATAGATTTAAAGAACCAGGAATTTAAGATTAGTTATAAGGCTGTGACATACCCGTAAAGAGCGGTCGTATGAGGCACTGAAAACCTTGGTCTGATCTGGCGTTGAGATGACGGCCAAAGCGTATACTGTTCCTACATGTCCGGTCAGGGTACGGACCTGTTCCTTCGAGTCGATGTCCCAGACCTGAGGCAAGGATAGTTCACAGTAAAAATTTTATATTTCCAAGCTTTTTAATGAAGGTTCAGTGAGTTTTGAATAAACGATAGAATAACCAGAAAAATCAACAGTTATCGAGGATTATTACCAACAAAAGGGTAAGATTGGCAAACGCTCATTTGATAAGCAGAAACAGTATATGAAAAAGAAGCCTGCATTGTACATCATACATGTACATGGACCCAGGTAATAAGTATAACCATTTCTGATGGACTTACATGTATAAGATTCTCATATGTTCCGCACACTATATGATGGTTGGTAACTGCTATGGAGTAAACACTCCCACCTGACGTCTGCAACACATGGATGCACTCCAAGGTGCGAATGTCCCAGATCTAGATCAGTGAGGAAATAAAGGGAACGAATGAATACAAGTCAAGTTCAGATTCAAGATTAGGCATGTTGACTCTGAAGCTCAATGGTTACTTTCTAGATATCTGTGGCCAGTAATAGCCACTGAGCAAATCTGACAAAGGCATTAGATGTTAATCTAAGATAAATCACCAAATAAACGTTCAAAATGTTTTTTAGAACATTTGAAGCTTCTTACATACAGGGAAGTTAGCACTGAGGTTTATAAGCTGCGTTTGCTGTCCTCTCACCTTGATGGTCTGGTATGATCCGCTATACAGGTAGTTCTGTGAGGCCACCAGAGCCCGTACCCAATGGTTGAGGCCAGTAAGTTCCTTCTTTAGCTTTAAGTCGGTACCCACAATGTCCCACACCTGAATAATCACAAGCAAAACGAGACAGAAAGCAATTAAAGGCATCACACAGGGCTTGCTGTGGACGGGGAATAGTTCCATGTGCATTTATTTTAGGAACTGGATCTTACATTCATAGTGCTTTATTGAACGAAACAAAGCAGGTATTTTACTATGGTTTGTCTTGCTTTCATAGCATATACTTTACGATCCAAGTTGTGTTCAGATATCCACATCTGTGATTTGCTCTGTCCCGAGTCTCACACAGTAAATGTGATCAAGTTATGGAAGCTCCAGAAACACAGCATATTTAAACAGTTAGGATTATTTACAAAATTTTAATGGTCAGAAATTAAAAGTCAATTTCAATGTTTAGGCAGTATTGTAAAAATTATCCAAGTCAGTTTTGTTTTCAGATATTTTTGCTTAAAATTTAAACCCTCCTTGAATTACTGACCAATCAAATTGTGTATTTGCTACACAACTGGTGTGTGTCCAAGGTTTTGGAACGTACCATTCTACGTAGGCTAAGTGCTTTATATATTTGTGAGGCTATTACAGAGCATCTTACTAACCGCATGTCTCCATGGCCTTTGGAAAAGGAATGGAACAGACTCACAGGAAATGTATAACGTTTTATCTTTTATTTCTAAACCTACACCTCTAACCTCTAAATCCAATGTGCACAGCAAACAAGACATCTGCCCCCCAAAACTCCACAAATATTCTATTAACTAACCTTAATTGCTTTCAAGGACCCACTGAAGAGCATATTGTGAGAAGAAACCAGTGTACACACAGGGTTGTCATGAGCTCGGATGGTGTTGACCTTTAGAAGTGTCTGAATGTCCCAGACCTGAATGAAAGAGAACCAGGATACCTCTCGATTACAAGACATTTCCACAATATCACACCTTATGCTCCCCAGACCTACGAAAAATGTATACACTTACAATAATAGTGCAGTCTGCCGAGCCGCTGTACAACTTGCTTCTGCAAAATAAAGATATAGAAAATAATCAACAGAACAAACAAAAATGCGCATATAAATCATAAAAATGGGCAATGCTCCAGCACAGAATCAGAGAATAAAGGAGTGTCAGTGTGAGTAGGCTAGTATGTGAATTCAGGCATGGGTATACATGCTTTCCCTGTCCATTTCACAGTTACTACTTCCTCTTTCCCTGTATTGGCAATCTGCAATGGATGGCCACTAAACCTGTATTTTGAAACACATACAAATAATTGCAGAGTCACACACATTCTGACCATGGGGTTTGAGATAATCTAGAAGAGCTTCTAGTACAAACACAAGGAAAAAATATTAGTTGTGTAAACTCACCCTTGAATGCAGAGGGCCAGTACAATGCCATCATGTCCTTCCAGTGTCTTTTGGCACTTGTAGGTTGTGCAGGTATCCCACACCTGGAACGAAGGAACAGGAATGAAAGCCCGAGTGTCACAGGTCTTAGAAGGTGGTCATCCACATATTACTGAGAGAAACGAGCATTCGCAGACACCTACCTTGATGGTTTTGTCGGATGAACCACTGAACAGCAGGTCTCCAATGGAGTACACACACAAGCACCACACAGGACCCTGGTGTCCTACGAAAGTACCCTTACACTTAAATATCTGCTGAGGATCATACGCTGTGGATAAATCACAAAAGTTCACAATGTTGTTAGAACAAATTAGACACTGAAAATAACGTGTTATAGAAAGAGTATAAGACATATATAATAGTGGAACTCTGTATTATGTATAATTATGGACTAATTTGTGTGCAAAATCGATCACTGCATATTAAAGGGTAATCCAAGCATTATGACCACTTCAGTGATTTAAAGTAGTTATGGTACCCGGAGTCTGTATGTGCAGCGTTTCGCTTTGAAATGTTGCACAAATGGAGATTAACCACTCTGTTGCCGGAGATGTAACTCCAACTCCAGAAATGTCAGCGTATCAGGCTGGTTATTATAAATTTTATGCAACTTTCATTTCAGGAGCTGGAAGTGGCAACCAGACCACATGGGAGGGTTGGAGCCTGGCAGGGACCCATGCAAGGGGGCAAACCCTTGCTAAACGGTTTGCCCTATTACCAGGGAACCAGGCCAGGATACTCCTGACATCATAACCATTACAGCGGGCTGTAGTGGTTATGATGATTGGAGTAACCATTAAAAGGAACACTATAGGGCGAGGAACACAAACATGTATGTTTCCTGATCATACAGTGTTAAAACCACAATCTAGCTCCCTATCTCCTCTAAATATAGCAAAATCTTACTTTTATTCAAGTCTGCAGCTGCTGCCTCTGCACCCGATCTGCCTGCTTGGCTGTCATCATTAGAATTGATTCCCTGAACCAATCATAATACTTTCACATAAGATTGGCTGAGACTGTCAAGAAGGCAGATATGGGGCAGAGCCAGCACAAGTCAAACACAGCCCTGGCCAATCAGCATCTCCTCATAGAGACAAATGTAATCAATTAATCTTTTTGAGGAATGTTCAGTGTCTCCATGCAGAGGGTGGAGACACTGAATGTCAGTCGCACTGTGCAGCACTGCCTCAGGAAACACCTCTAGTAGCCATCTGAGGAGTGGCCGGTGAAGTTATCACTAGGATGTAATGTAAACACTGCATTTTCTTTGAAAAGACAGTGTTTATTGCAAAAAGCCTGAAGGGAATGATTCTACTTACCAGAACAAATACAATAGGCTGTAGTTGTTCTGGGGACTATGGTGTTCCTTTAGGCCTTTCTATGCCATGGGTTTATTATGACAATGCTAAGTAACTTACATCCCAGAATTCCCATGTTCAATCGAGCGTTGATATGAGAGAGTTCATCCTGTGAAATGGAAGAAATATTTAGAAAAAACCTCACAGTATTGAAATGTGAGTCAAGGGAGCTGGGCAGCAACAAAAAATTAATATAATTAGAGGAGGACTCACATTCAGCATTGACGCGTCCCTGCGGAACTCCATCAAGTCTTCACCCAATTTGCTTTGGTTTTCATCCAAGACATCTGCAAGAGTAGATATTAGACAGTTGGGTTTTCCATGCAGGAGTTAAAAACAAGAGAATACAGACATCATTGAGAACAACCGGAGGACTTGACATAAACAAATATTCAGGTATTTGTCAGGGCACTTCAAAACCCAGAGGAGATAAGTGTGACCATAACTAAAGAGGGTGAGTGAAGAGAGAACTAGTATGACTATACCTCTGTAGATCAATAAATATACTTAGGTACAAGGGACGTCTAGAAACCCTTTGCTGTCCGATTTTAAAATTCTGTTCTATTGTCAATTAAGTGGTTATTTAAAAAGCAGGTGTAACATGGCCTGATGGGTAATAGAATTATGAACATGTTTATCCATAAACTGGATATGAAGACAAGGTGAAGAAGAAAGAGGTTTCCTACCAAATTTCAGCTCCAGGTTCTTCTCCAGCTGGTCAATCTTCTCAGACAGCTTCCCTAGCATGGAGCGCAGGAATGCGATCTCCTGATCCTTTTGGGTCATGGCTACCTGCATCTCGTGGAATCGGTCATCTGTCTGCTGCAGAAACTCCTTCAACCCTTCGAACTTACACATCTCTAGGTGTGTCTCATACGTGTCCTGGTTCCCAATGAATGCACACCTGGAAGTCAAAGAACAAAGATGGTTACCAGCTGTTCAAGTTCACCAGGACGTGAGTAACTCATACGAGATCAAATTAATGATAAGAATGCTTGTGTGTGTGATGATCGCCCCCGACTCACACAGGGGTGTTAAACCTCTCGTCCCAACCACTAGCTATAACGCTCCGCTATCACTTCCCCATCAAAGATAACTACTCACAAAAAGTTGACCCCCTCGCTTGGGTCGCTCTCGAGGCACAACCGAGGGGGGTCTCAGACACCCAGGCACTCCCCTGCAGGAATAGTGGGATGTAGTAGGAGCTTTTACGACAACCGGTCTACACATTGTTATCTGTATACTGTTGTATCCACAAGTGTTTACCATTTTGTACCAACGACAATCCATTAAAATAAAGAATGTCAAAAAAAAAAAGAATGCTCGTGTGTGAACCTTATGCCCTGCATGTTAAGTGTGGAAATTGCTTAAGGACTGCTTTCGGGGCACCTCTCATCTGCCTGTAATATCTTTTGTCTGGCACCACAAAAATAAAAATTTTTTTAAGAAGAATGCTTATGTGTGTTTCCTGTACGTGGTACTTTTGAACCAAAAAAGATAAATTTCAGAGCCTCCCTGCTATTACTGGAATCAACTTCTTATGTCCCCCATCCAGTAAAGTGAAAAAGGAAAGAGGTATATTGTGTCTATCACATATAAAATAACACAGGATTTACAAATTGCCAAGGTTTTGAGAAGATGTAAAAAAACATTTAAAAAATAAAACAATTTGGGGTAAACATGGATGGTGATTTGTTCATCACTAAATGTTTTCTGCAAATTTCACAAGCATATTGAGCAAAGTATGTCACCTCACCATAAGCTTCATAAACTGTATGAAAGGTGTCCAGCTACCTGCAATGTTCTTCAATAAAACTACCAAGTGCGCTGGTACTAAAATGTAAGACGCTGACAAACAATCAAGGTACAATCTAAACAATTACATGTACTGTATAATTTGCAATCCTAGGGCAGCGTACTATAAAGCGGAGCAATCACCGTGGAAACCTGTTGACTGCTCCACTTACAGAACTCTGCCCCAGAGTCTGTCATCACATTCTATGTTTCTATGAGTTTCTCTACACATATCTAAAAATAGTTAAACATTAATCCTATTGGTGTTTGAAGCCCAGTTCAGTGTGGGATTATACCTACCCATATTTGGAATGAGGGCACTTTATGTGTTCACACTCTTTGAGGTGGCCCTCCATATTCATCTTTAGCAGAGGGGGGCAATTGGGATTATTAGGACAGCGCACGGGTCTGTAATCACAGGTGCCTTCATGGTCCCTGAGGGAATGGACAAGGAGAGAGTTATAGTAAAGAAGGTGAACTCCAAAACAGAATGAGTCAGCAGCAGTGGTGCCTTAGTATAAATTATGTTATACTTAACAGCAATTTAATAGGCATTCAGGGACCCCCCACATGTTTCCTTTTCCCATCTTACCATCAATTCTACTGAACCATTACTCTTAGCATCCTCCTATTAGTCACATACAGTCCTTACTCTCGCAAAACTCATATCACTCCCATCCAGTCCTTCCTTTTCCAAAACTCAGATCACTCCCATCCATTCCTTTCTCTTGCAAAACTCATATCACTCCCATCCAGTCCTTCCTCTCCCAAAACTCATATCACTCCCATCCATTCCTTCCTTTTCCAAAACTCATATCACTCCCATCCATTCCTTCCTTTTCCAAAACTCAGATCACTCCAACCCATTCCTTCCTCTCCCAAAACGCATCACTCTCATTCATTCCTTCCTCTGCCAATACTCATATCACTCTCATCCATTCCTTCCTCTACCAATATTCATATCACTCTCATCCATTCCTTCCACTCCCAATACTCATATTACTCCAATTCATACCTTTGCTTCCCTATATTCTTGTCACTCTCATCCAAACCGTCCAATTTTACTCCCAGCAGACCCCTTTTTCTCTTACTATGTGGGTTACCTTGCTGTTTTGCAATGTCCCTCACAAGTATACACCCCAAAGTGCCACATTATCCCTATATTCTTAGCATTTTGTCTTAACTTGTCCCACTCATTCCAGCTTCTGAATGGGTGAAAGTAGAACTGAAACCCAGACCCTCCGAGGCAGGCAGAGGAATGGCACCATGCTATAGACCCCCACGCAGATCAGGGACTTACTTCCTGGCACTGAGTTTTACGGTAAAGGGGCAGCCGTGGGGATCCACTTCAAAAGTAGCCGGCTTCCCATTGGCAGACTGACGGCACCCGTATTTACAGTGAATAAACAGCTCCCCTATTTGCTCAGCAACAGCAATATTATTTACCACCACGGTCAGTTTTGCATTATCCACTGGGCACTTTTCTAGGCAAAAACAACAAAACAGACAAGATTAAATCATTATTGGCTCCATCTGGGAAAGTAGAAAAATGTGTATCTTTATTTTACAGTTTTAATAAATGCAGGTTTCCATGGCGATACAGCAATAGAACCTGGCTCTGTGCCACTAAGAGGCAATCATGGAAATGTGTGTTTTACATCAATTTAAACAGATAAATTATGGTGCCTGTAATGGACCCCCCTCCAAAAAACACCCCAACAACAATTCTCAAATTTTTACCGATCAATACTGAGAACCTGTTATGACAGAGCTTTATTTTGATGACATATTATATATTTTTTACTTGGCTTTAAATGTCTGACCTTTGGCATACGGATACATAAACCTGTTACCTACTCCTGGTTCTTCCGGTGTTGCACAATTCATATCATAAGGCTTGCCTTGCGGTTTTAAAGAAGGCATCACATTTTATCAGCTGAAGGTCTGTTGAATGTGTGTTTTTTTTTTTGTTTAACTCCTATCACTGTCAGCTGGCAGACCTTCAATCTCAGGCAAAGACAGAGACACACTGACAGGGTTCATGACTAAAGTGAGCATTGCACGGAATTCATAGTGAATTTCACATTTAAAGCCAAAATCTCCAAATTAAAAACAAAATTGACTTGGAGGTTTTAGCTTAACTGTTTGACTAAATTATGAAATTCACTTTGTCACTCTTACAGCGGTATTCACAAAAGTAGGGACTGCCAGGAATTCAGAGACACGCAGAAACAGAATGGGAGAGAATGGCAGGAATTCAGAGACACGCAGAAACAGAATGGGAGATAATGGCAGGAATTCAGAGACACGCAGAAACAGAATGGGAGAGAATGGCAGGAATTCAGAGACAGAAACAGAATGGGATATAATGGCAGGAATTCAGAGACACACAGAAACAGAATGGGAGAGAATGGCAGGAATTCAGAGACAGAAACAGAATGGGATATAATGGCAGGAATTCAGAGACACACAGAAACAGAATGGGAGAGAATGGCAGGAATTCAGAGACAGAAACAGAATGGGATATAATGGCAGGAATTCAGAGACACACAGAAACAGAATGGGAGAGAATGGCAGGAATTCAGAGACACACAGAAACAGAATGGGAGAGAATGGCAGGAATTCAGAGACACACAGAAACAGAATGGGAGAGAATGGCAGGGATTCAGAGACACACAAACAGAATGGGAGAGAATGGCAGGAATTCAGAGACACACAGAAACAGAATGGGAGATAATGGCAGGAATTCAGAGACACACAGAAACAGAATGGGAGATAATGGCAGGAATTCAGAGACACACAGAAACAGAATGGATAAATGGCTACACAACATTCATTTTCTTTTAATCTGTGCTTGTAATGTTGACTGAACGACTTGAACTTTGATTCCCTCTATTGTCAGCCTCTCTGCAGGTCAGTTAAATGCCCACTGATGTCACTATTAACTCTGGTCTGACCTTCTGCCCAGTGTATCTCCAAATGGCAATAGAAGAAATTGTCAAACACACCTCTATATATGTGTAAATACAGTGGGGGAATAAAAATGTATATAAATCAATATTACCCCTATGTAAAGTATTGTAGACCACAGGACTCCTCCAGGTCCTCAATATACAAATAAAACAAAACACAAAGTCTGCAATACAAAAATGAAGAGACTCATAGGATAATACTGTGTGAGTACCATCGGTGTACTAAATGGGTAAAACTGCACTCAAAAACGTGGCAGCCGCAAATAAAAGGTTTTATTTTTTTTTCCCCTGAGGAAGTCTCAGCAATTGGGACGAAACGCGTAGGGTTTATATACTGGTTTGCACCTCGTGAGAACGATTGTTTTCAATTTTGTTTATTTTGCTGTTGTTTACTTTATTTTTTTTGTATTTATTATGTTTTCTGCCATCTGGGGAGAGAGAGGATTGTTATCAGGACACCATCATCTTCTACCCTATTGATGTGCCTTTTAAAATGTTCTCTCTTGTAAGTGCAACTTGTATATTAAATTGTGTTATATACCAGCAGCTCTTCACGATTAGTGCTTTCCTTTTTTCCCCTTTATGTGGAATTCTTATTGAGGAGACAAACAGCCTGCTTGTAAGACTTACCTGATGTGCCTACTATCAATGATCGGTTTGTGGGTGCGTTTTTACCATCTAATACACCCTAGGTCCTGACAAAGTATTATCCTAGAAGTCTCTTCATTTTTGTATTACAGACTGTGTTTTATCTCCAAATGGAGATACTGCCACCTTAAAAACATTGCTCGTATTCAGTTCTATCTAATGCAAGATGTACCCAAAGTATGCCCTAGCTCTTACTATCAGACAACTCTGAGACTTTATCTTCCTGGGTGAACATCTTTGTCTATGCCAGTCATCTTGTCCCTGCTCACATACCTGAGGTGTCCACCGTCTGTAATACTCTCTCACATTACATTCAATCGCTCTCCCACACAACACGTTTACCTAGATACAGGTGTGATACCCGGCACTCTCCCCTCTGACACACTGTACTTTACCCCGCTTCCTCTTCAACTCTTAGTTCTGTCAACAATTTTTTGTCTGACAACTACCACATGGTGGAATGTTTTGGCACTATAAAACAGTAATGGTGATAAGTGTGGGAGAGACAGGTAAAGACAGAGACACACAGAAAGAGAGTGACAGAGACAGGTAAAGGCAGAGACACGCAGAAAGAGATTGACAGAGACAGGTAAAGGCAGAGACACGCAGAAAGAGATTGACAGAGACAGGTAAAGGCAGAGACACGCAGAAAGAGAGTGACAGACAGGTAAAGACAGAGACACGCAGAAAGAGTGACAGACAGGTAAAGGCAGAGACACATAAAGAGGGTGATAGAGAGAGACAGGTAAAGGCAGAGACACACAGAAAGAGAATGACAGAGACAGGTAAAGGCAGAGACACGCAGAAAGAGAGTGACAGAGACAGGTAAAGGCAAAGACACACAGAAAGAGTGGCAGAGACAGGTAAAGGCAGAGACACGCAGAAAGCAAGAGAGAGACAGGTAAAGGCAGAGACACAGAAAGTGAGAGAAAGAGAGGTAAAGGGAGAGACACACAGAAAGAGAATGACAGAGACAGGTAAAGGCAGAGACACGCAGAAAGAGAGTGACAGACAGGTAAAGACAGAAACACATCCCTTTCCAGTTGCCTTCATGTTGTGTGCTTCCTGTATTGTTCTCACTAAACCTTTATGAAATGCATAGAATCCCTTGTCCAGCATAAGACAATCTATCACAGAGAGGATCTGCGGGTGTGAGGATGTACCTACCAGATGTTAAGGCGCATCTCCTGCAGAATGTGTGCTATAGGAGAGATAGGAGACAGGGGTTAGTCTGATATACCAGCTTGTAACAGAAATCAAACATCTGTGTGCTAGAAACGCTCTATAAACCAACACCAGCTGTACACTACGTTTCTCACAATGCTTACAACTGGAATGTAGTCCTCAGCTTTTGAATTCCCCAGGTCAGCAATCTCTAAAATAAACCTGTTTTATACAAAACAAAAAGCTATCTTCCACATTCTAGCTGTAGCTCCATCACACCTCCCATCACTTTCAGGCAGCCAAAAGTTGATAGAGCCTATATTCTTAGAGCAGAGGCGGGGGCTCCTTGCACCATAATCACTACAATAATTTGTAGTTGGAGACAGGAGACAGTTCTAGTGCTCGCCTTATGACTGACCACAGATGCTGCAACACCTCTTAAACGCCAATCACCAAACTGACCTCTGGACTATAGTTCTAGTCTGTTCTTTATTCACCATAACCACCGAGTCAAAGAAAATGTTAGTCATACTGGTCATGGGAGGGGGATATTGTTGGCTATTCTATAACTTGGAAGTCAATTTAACTACAACAAACTGTTTAGTGAACAAACCCCTTAATATCTTTACTGTGTCTTCTGACATTTTAAACGGAAATTCACAGTATATTCAACGTTCTGGGCATACAGTTATTTGTCCTACCTTACATCGGATTAAAAGAGCCAGGGATTTGTTTTCAGAATATTTCTTTATTTACATAGGGCTCTCCCAGAACCCTTTTGGCCTTTGCTTTGGTCAGCTGGCACGTTGCTTACTGGGTTGTGCACAGCTAACCCCTGATAAAAGTTTGCTTCATATAGCACAGCCCTCCTGTCCCCCCCTCCCCCCCCCCCTCCCTGAGAAGCACAGCTGCCGTGTTCTGGCTCCTGGTCGGGGAACACTGCCAACGAGGCCTGCTCTCTGTCAATTTCCCGCACACTCTTTCCACAGCTCGGCCTGCGATTTGATCAGAATGAGCAGGGGAGGAAGGACCAGGCGCAGTGACCCATCTACTCCTTCCTTGCCAAGAGCAGAACTTTTCAAACCTGAGCCAAAAAAATTCACTAAACCGGGACTTAACTAGGGAACTGACAAAACAGCTGAACAGGAAAAACAAATTGGAGAATTGTCTCCAGTTGTGTATTCAGGTTTTTGTCTGACAAAGTCCAGTCAAGGCTAATGTTCTGCTTCAATCAACCATGTATCTAGCAACACCATCATTAATACATATATAGATACACACACAGTCACATACATAGACACACAAACACACACAGTCACATACATAGACACACAATCACACACAGTCACATACATAGACATACAATCACACTCAGTCACATATATAGACACACAGCGACATACAACCGCACACAGTCACATACATAGACATACAATCGCACACACACAGTCACATACATAGACACACAATCACACACAGTCACATACATAGACATACAATCTCACACACAGTGACATACAACCGCACACACAGTCACATACATAGACATACAATCGCACTTAGTCACACACATAGACATACAATCACACTAGGTCACATACATAGATATACAACCACACAGGCAGTCACATACATAGACATACAAATACACACACACATATACAATCACATACAATCATACATTCAGCCACATAGATACACATACAATTACACAAACACAGCCTCATACATAGACAATTAGGGATCGACCTGATTCCGATGATCTGCGAACTTTCAGGCCGATAACGTACCGATATTAGACATTTTGTTTTAGTCCCCCCTCCCTGCTTCTTTCCTGGCCAGGGAGGGGGGATATGCACCCAGCACACTCTTACTTACCTTCGTCAATGCTCTGACGGTCGCGAGACTCGCGAGAGTGAGGCAGGGGAGCTGAAGGGAGCTTCTGAGAAGGTAAGTAAGAGTGTGCCGCGGCCCAGGTCTGCCTTATCGGCAATATCGGTATCTTTATTGGCCAATACCGATATTGCTGAAAAAAAACTGAATATCAACTGATAACGGCCAGACCGATAATCGGTCGATCCCTAATAGACATACAATCAAACACTTGGTCACATACATAGAAATACAACAAAACACACAATCACATACACATATATCACTGCCCTAGGTGAGGGGAGTCACATACAAAGATATACAACCACACAGGCAGTCACATACATAGACATACAAATATACACACACAAACACAGTCACATACATAGACATACAATCAAACACTTGGTCACATACATAGACATACAACAACACACACAATCACATTGACATATCACTGCCCTAGGTGAGGTGTGGATCATTCTGGGTGAGTGATTTATCTGCCAACACCGAGTAGATAAATAATCTGTGCAGTGGAAGCAAAAACAACACTGTATAACTTCAAGTTATATAAAAATAGTAAAGGATAAGTAGCCAATAAGAATATTTTAATACAGAAGGTGTTGGGTGTAGAGTACAGAGCCCACCTGCTAACATTAAATGTGTGTGCTAGAAATCAGGCGGGTTTATTTACTGTACGCGTGGACCATGTAATATATTCTGCAGGAGTTCATTAAAGGGACACTATAGTCACCTGAACAACTTTAGCTTAATGAAGCAGTTTTGGTGTATAGAACATGCCCCTGCAGCCTCACTGCTCAATCCTCTGCCATTTAGGAGTTAAATCCCTTTGTTTATGAACCCTAGTCACACCTCCCTGCATGTGACTTGCACAGCCTTCCATAAACACTTCCTGTAAAGAGAGCCCTATTTAGGCTTTCTTTATTGCAAGTTCTGTTTAATTAAGATTTTCTTATCCCCTGCTATGTTAATAGCTTGCTAGACCCTGCAAGAGCCTCCTGTATGTGATTAAAGTTCAATTTAGAGATTGAGATACAATTATTTAAGGTAAATTACATCTGTCTGAAAGTGAAACCAGTTTTTTTTCATGCAGGCTCTGTCAATCATAGCCAGGGGAGGTGTGACTAGGGCTGCATAAACAGAAACAAAGTAATTTAACTCCTAAATGACAGTGAATTGAGCAGTGAAATTGCAGGGGAATGATCTATACACTAAAACTGCTTTATTTAGCTAAAGTAATTTAGGGAACTATAGTGTTCCTTTAAACCATGCTCTGCACACAGCTTTTACACGGAGCTCTCCCATGCTAAGAATATTCCATATGTGACTCAATTTCCTCAATACAAACATTACGTCAACCCAGATTAACCAGAAAAGGCTGGCCACTGGGGGGAATGACCTAAGTGATATCAAAAGGTTCATTGACCAGCCAGAATCGGACAACTTTCAGCAACAAATAACGTTCTCACAGTGACCCCAGAAAGACAAGCCCAACATTTCAGCTTGTCCCTGGGTTATTGTAAAACTAATCTTACTCCTTTAAAATAACAGATATTCTTGAAGTATACACACTCAGGAAAACATAAGCAACATTAAAAAGATTTGAAATTGTTTTTGCAGGACCCTCGTAACCTCTTTTTTTTGTTGTTCTTTTTATATCTCCATAATCAAGGACTGTTTAATATTAATACAGTGCATGTTAATTAGAAGACAAGTTTTATAGAACAGGCTTTTAAGACTATTGATTTTTTTTTGGGGGGTGGGGGGGAGAGGGGATATGCACAATTTCAGTTTTTGCTGAATGAACACTTACCCCACATGTGGTGATGACGGGGTCTTTAAAGACGCTGCAACAAAGCTGACAGCAGAGTTTGACAGATGGCTGCTCAGCAAACACTAGGGGATCCTGGGGGTGTAAGAAAAAAAGAGAGACAGGTTTTACCATCACAATATCTCTGCAGACAGACACCCCGGACTCCATTTGCTCTGAACTGGCGCAAAACAGCACACCTTAGCGCAGGGATAGTGCGCTAAGACACTGCTTTTAGCAGCAAATATACCGCAATGCGGAGCAAACTGCTGCAAGCCAGAGGAAAGGAAGTTGGGGGGAAAAACCCAACAGATTGTAAGCTCTTAGGATCACAAAATATACCAGCCACTCTAGCACTAGTAAAATGAATCTGTCACCATATCGTAAAACATTACAACCGGTGCGGGAAGCAGCAACACAGATCTTGTTTTTGCACAGTGACAAAAATAAATGAATCTGTGTTCCTGTATGGTTCTACCAATAAAGACAGACTAAAACATATTAAAAAAAACTTCAAACTCTGCCACACTGTGGATAATTGTAACAGAAACTCGATAGGTTAGCCTAATACTGGTTTTAGTCAACAGGCTCACTTTTAATAAAAAAAATAATAGAGAAAAGTTTTCCCAGGGTATTTTTTTTTTATACATAGCAGCATTCCACCGTGATGAGTTCCTCTATAGAGAACGGCCGTGAAATAGTTCCAAAATTAATAGGAACCCGCCAACGCACAGCTACTTACAGCTCTCTGCAGCTCTGCCTCCCCTTTAAGTGTTAGGCCTTACCGGCTCTCCTTCATCTTCGTGGAGAGAGAAGGTGGAGCGTAAAGACATGCTGGACTCCGAATGCAGGGACCGAACGGATATGGCCGAGTCGGAGCGTCTGGGAGTGCTAATAGGAGGCTAAAGAAATTCAGGGAAATAAGGTGCGTAAGTTGGTAAATCCTTACTATAAGAACATCAACAAGCTCTGTTTTGAATTAGATAAGAGAATGAGAGATCCTACAATAATCCGTGATACAAAATCAAGCGTCCGTCCCAAAAATCCTCGTTTTGTTTCCCGTTCATCTTCACCTAGCTGACCATTCAGATTCCCTTTTTCCTGGACTACGGAGATAATACTTGGCTAATTTCTCCGCACCCCCGGGGACTGCTCCATCTCTGATAAGAAGGTGAGAATTAGGCCGGCTATGATACAGCTCTATGCTGGAAGGAACACAGTCTGTAGGCTCTCCCTGTGTCTATTCAGTATGTGCTGCTCCACTCTCTGAGTCTGACTCCTGCCAGGTCTGCTTGCTGTGTATATGTGCACATTTCCTCCTATTGAATTCAGAGAGCTGAGCAGCTTCCTGCTAGAGAAATGAGGAGGCAAGAGGAAGGGGGGCTTATATTGAGCGTATGGAGGGGGGGGGGGGTTGCACTTTTTAACCCCATAAAGTAACTTTATCTTATGGCATACAGGTTAGTTTGCCAAGCTGCTAAATAAGCTGCAACACTGAGGCCCAACTAGTAGAAAAAGATCTATAGCTCAGCTGGGCAGAGCGTGAAAACGAACACTAGTTTTCTCTAGCCCGGCTATCCGTGAACTACAATTCCTAGAGTTCTCAGCCAACTGGGAAATTGAGTTCACGAACCACTGAGGTGCTTAGGTTTGCCCTCATCTGTGAATTAACTCGGTGGATTACGGTTTTTATTTTTTAATATCTAGGACTTTATTGCGATATAAAAAAGATCAATGTAAGTTATTAGCAAAGTTCATCATTGGACTTCACAGAGCAGGAACTTTAAATGATCATACTATAACAATGGGTCTTACTGTAGTTTTTCAACTGTTACACTACAATATCCACGAGAATGATGGGAATTGTAGTCTAACAGCAGCTGTTAGGTAAAGTTAGGACATATTTGTTCTATATCAAGGGTGGCCAAAGGTTAGAATCTGAGGAGTTGCAGAATTGAAGGTCCCTTGATGCTGTGTCATTCTTAATGGGTTACTCAAAACACCATGACCACTTCAGTGATTTGAAGTGGTCATGGTGCCTGGAGTCTGTATGTGCAGCATTTCACTTTGAAACTATGCACATAGAGAATTTAGCCCCTTAAATGTCGGAGGTGTAACTCCACCTTCAGCAGTGCCACCAGGGCACCATTAGCCAGCCCAGAACAAGAGTTCTGGCCTACTTAATGTCAATTATGTGCATATTTTCATGCACAATGGGCTATTCATTGGCTGAGCATGGTCAGCTGACGCTCTCCGCCAATGGATGGCAACTTGATTGGCTCCTGCAGCCCTGCAAAAATATTGCTAAACATTGGAGAACTGGGACAGAGTCCTACTGGCAACAAAACCACTACAATGGGATTGTAGTAACCCTTTAATGCTCTCAAAGCATCATGGTCATTGTAGTCCTACAGCTGGGGGTAAACCTTTAGGAAACCCCTGTTTTGTATCATGTCTGCTATTTAAAGTACTGGTGCTTTAACTTACCATAACATCGTCTTCATCTCTGGAGGAGAATGTCATGGTGCTGGAAGACGATGGGGTCCGGCGGTGCTGTTTAAACGTGTTTGTCCCATCAGCTGCAAGAGAAAGGAATAACGGTAATAGTTTGTATCTAGAACCCATAACTAAAATGTCAATTATTATATGGTCTTCTCATTAGAAGGGTTTCCTTTATTTGAAGCTGGACTGTCATTAATGTTTTCGAGTTGTTTTTTATTATTTAGAATATGATAAAACTTTTTATAAAAAGGAACACTCCAAACGACTTGCTGAAGTGCTTTGCGTGTCTGGAGTCTGTCATATTTCTGACAGTTTATAAAAGTGCAGACTTTAATAGAAACCAGCTCTTTTTAAACTGAGGGCAGGGACAGCTCCCTGGCTGACAGACAATCACAAGGTTTTCTTTAGATTCCATTAGATCCACAGAGCAAACAGAAGTTGCAGGCTTGCTGGGCTAAAGAGCGCCTGCTTTTGCCTTCTCAGAGCTGTACAACCGCTCACTGAGAAACATTGGAAAGCTGTGATCACGAAGACTCTGGCTGGTCAATTCCCTGGCATAGATGGAGAGTCTGAGCTAGGGAAAGAGAGTGGGGGCTTGGAAAGGCTGCAACTTCTGCAAGCTGTATGTTCACATACCCTCAAAGAGAATATGCATGCTTACTGTGTACATCTCCTAGCTTAAGAACAGCTAAAGAGAGGAAGAAAGGTGGAAGCTGAGAATGTACACTTTAAAAGGGGGACATTCACTTTCAAGGATTTTTTTATATATTTCCTTATTATTACATATGTAATAATAAGGAAATATATTATAATGGAGTGCTTCGGTTATAGCAGCAAAAGTGTCTCAAAAGGCAGTCAGAAAAAGGTTTGTAAAACCGACAATTAAAAATAAAAATAAAAATAGCCATATCTAGGAAACAGCAATGTTTTACATTACAAGGTTAAAAAGACAGGGGCGCTGCACCCAGACCACTTTATTGAGATGGAGGTGTTTATGGTGTCTCTTTAAAATGGTTTGTCTTTCGAAATATAAAAAGGCCTTGCGGTTTACGTGGTACATATTAATTCACTGATAACTAGTCCCTAAACTGTTGGTGGCTGTATGAATGTACTTTTCAGTCATTATTGTAGGTAACAGTATCCCTTTAGACCAATGATTGCTACATAATACTATGCAGGTAGAATTGAGTAGAGTCACTGTACGTTTGTCCTTATAGAAACTTGGTGCACTATTAATCAGTTATACTAAAGACAAGCAAGAAAAATCAGGAGTGCCACTTGTGGGTGTATAGTGTAACCATATTATCCCTTAAATGGAAGTCCTATTAATTTACAATGTGGACACCAATCCATATTTCCTCTACCTTGTGTGATAATACAGATAGTAGTCAAATACTAATTACAGCCATTACTTGTTGGCATAATGTGTCCACGTATGACCTAGAGATCTTCATAACAATTACACTTAGGAATCTGTAATAGTGCTGTGGATGCAGGCATCCACGCCATTAACCCGCTCTACATTTCCAACAATTCGTGATTGAATAGCAGTCTATTAGCATCAACCAATCAGAACCCACCAGGGAAGCTCTAATTGGTGCTCACCTTTTTCAAATGAACCAATAGACATTAAGCGTCCCCCTTTTTAACTGGACTCCTTGAATGGTCTGGCTCCCCTCTGATGAGCCTTAGTGGCAAAACGCCCACCAGGGGCACCAACACGCGCACTTTCCAGCTACCGGACTATGAGCGTGCCTTTAGCATTCAGGCACACCTGGTCTATTGGGAGAGAGCATTCATCTTTACAGAATGCTTTTGCAATTTTATCATACTAATTAGCCACCGCATCTAGCACAATAGGATCTACTTTGAGTTTACAACTTCCTGTCTAATATTATACTGTCTTCTGGGGGAGGAAGAATGTAGAACTAGCTTCTAAGGATCAGATTTATTGTGGTTAAAGGGTGCCCTTGAAGGCACACTGGAATCTTCGATAGCAGCAGGATATTCATGTCAGGTTTCATATTGTCTATGCAACTATTTTCCCTACCATTCCCTAGTTGCTCCATTAGTTATATGTCTCTATTGTTAATCTTATCCAGTTGGCTACGATACCAATTAGAATAACATTACCATACATAGCATCGGCTGAACATCTCTACAATTCCTCCCTGCCCCACGCTAGGAGATTGTTCATCACAAATAGGAGACCTGTCCACCTCGGCTCTAACCATTTTCTGAAATCTAACTGGTGGTAAAGTTAAAGCAGACACCTTACTGCTGTTCCTGTTTGCATAGTGATACAGGTTGCTTTTCTGTTACCATTGGAAAGCACTGTTTAGTTGAAGTGACCAATTCAGCTCTCGCTTTATCACTTTCTTACATTGAACTCGTGGCAGAGTTAAAGCAGATAACTCATTGCTGCCTGTGCCTAAAGAGTTAAAGGACCACTATAGGCACCCAGACCACTTCAGATTAATGAAGTGGTCTGGGTGCCAGGTCCAGCTAGGGTTAACCCTTTTTTTTAATAAACATTGCAGTTTCTGTTTATGTTAGGGTTAATCCAGCCTCTAGTGGCTGTCTCATTGACAGCCGCTAGAGGTGCTTGCGTGCTTCTCACTGAAAATCACAGTGAGAAGACGCCAGCGTCCATAGGAAACCATTTTAAATGCTTTCCTATGAGACTGGCTGAATGCGCGCGCAGCTCCTGCTGCGCATACACATTCAGCCGAAGAGGAGGAGAGGAGGCGGAGAGCTCCCCGCCCGGCGCTGGAGAAAGAGGTAAGTTTAACCCCTTCATCCCCCCTCGGGGGGCACCCTCAGGGCACTATAGTGCCAGGAAAACGAGTATGTTTTCCTGGCACTATAGTGGTCTCTAAGTGTTTCATTTTACTTTTGTGCCAACAGTGTATAGCACAGTATTATCTAAGGTCCCAGAAGTTATGACAAATCTGCCAAATACCAACATCAGCTTGACCACTAGAAGGCATTATTTTGTCCCCTCCTTAGATTTTCACTAGTGCCTCTCACACAACAGAGGACACTATCCAGTATCTAACTTCCTATACGTAGGCTCTCCCTATCCTTGAAAGTATATGGAAATATCATTGTTTTAAGGGCGGTGGCACCATTCACCAGATCTCTGATTTTAAGTTTTATTAAAAGTTCCGTTTTGATTACACTTTGACTGTGTACATTATACATAGAGTTGCACTCCTGATTTTTCTCCCTTGTTTTCAGTATTACACACATTAGCGGTTACCCCCCATCCAGGAGTCATACATTTACCAAAACCGTGTTTTCAGTTTTCCATTAATCAATTACTTACTAAATTGTGCTGAATGCATCAAGGAATAGCTAGTTGTAGGTTGAATTAGCCAAGATGGGGAAAAATAAATTTGGAAAAAGTTTCTAATTTGGCTATTTTTGACTAAAATCCTCTTTATGGCCCTAAGGAGTTCAGGGCTTTCATTTACCTTTAGTTATAGTTGTAACTGCAGAGAAGGCCGGACCAAACGTGGTCTCCATTCTGGTCTGGGAGGACAAAAGAAATGGGAACGAATGCTAAAAATAAACAATTTATCACTGTCCTGAAAAGAGAAAAAGAGAGAAAAAGGCAGGGGAAACCAGTAAGAGAAACAAAGACCAAAGGAAGGGGAGTATGCAAACACAGCGGACAGAGAGGGGGAACAGGTGAAAGACAAAGGTAGATTCAGTGAGAAGAAAACAAAGAGAGGCCGATGTGTAGACTTACTAAAATAATATCTCTCTAGAAGCACCTCTGCTCTGGCAGATGGGCGGTACACACTGAAGTTCAATTAGGAAGGAGTGAAGATCAGCTCTCACTCTTTCCATTCTCCTTGTGTATGTTTGCAGTGTCATAGTCACAGTTTGCAAGGCTGCAATAAGGTGGAGGCAGAGAGGAACCACTAAACCCTTTGTCATTCTGGATCAGGACTCAAGATTCCCACCAGCCACTGGCAAGTTAACATGTAGCCCTGGTGAGAAGATTGTCCCCCCGTTGAGTGTGCCATGGGATCTCCGGCTCCAGAGGACCTTACGCTTTACTCTCTGTTATCTCAAAAGCAAGGATCTCAAACGCTGCTCCCCAGCCAGATGTTGACGGCCTACAACCCCCAGAATTCTTTGAATGCGATAGATGGCCAGTGAATCATGGGAGTTGTAGTTCAGCAACATCTTTAGGGACCAGAGTTTGAGATGCCTAAATACCGACACAGGTCAGAGGTCATAATTTTGTTAAGCAGCTTTTACAAGGAACATCAGTAAACGTTAGGATTTTCTCAGCTCAAACTGCTCCCAAAACAAGGCATGCATTACAGCAATAATTTACAGCTTTCTTACCAGTTCATATATCTGGCCAATGAAGAAATAAAAGGACTGCAGAGAATGGCTTACTATTAAAAGGACATTTTTATATTGAAGAATCTGTTAAAGTAATGATTTTCTAGCTCACTTCTCAGGTCTGTTTTATTCTGCCTTTCCTTGTTCAGATTTTACTTTTCTGAATAAATCCAGACGCATGGTACAGGGGAAGTTTAAAAACCAGCGAGTATATAACAGAATATATAGGGGTGGATTTATAAGGCCAGAGATACATTTTAACTCTGAACTGAACAGGCACTTTTTCCTGTTGACATTGATTGGAAATGGTAAATGGCGTTCTCAATACCAAGCTCTAAAGCTATACATCAACCCCATGGATTAAGAAAATAGTTACCCCGTTCGTGCTCTCTGGTGGGATATTCGTGGCACCTGCAGGAAAATGGTTGAAGCGTGGATTCTTGCTAGAGGTCATACTCTAAACCAACCATCGGTAGCGGAATGCATCAAGAGGACTCTGGAAGCAGAGAGAAGATAGATATTAGAGTGCATCTGCTGCCTGGAATCCCCTTACAAACAGTGATACAAATGGGGTAACAGGTCAGAAACACAACAGTAATTTATGACTTGGAATAAATTTGTGAGTTTTATCATTTTGATTTTCTGTCATCCAGAAGTAAATTCTGCTCATTACTTGCCCAATCTCGCATTAAAGGAATGCTCTGAGCACCATAACCACAACAGCACGCTGTAATGACTATGATGCCAGGGAACCCCCCTAATCGTAAGAAGTCGTCAAACCGTTTTTGAACAGTTTGGCTTCTTACCCCCACAGACACCAGGAAACAAGTCAAACTGTTCAAACACGGTTTGACTCCTTACAATGAGGGGGCGCCAAAGCACTCCTGGCACCATAACCACTACAGTAAGCTGGAGTGGTTATGGTGCTTGCTGTGCTCCTTTAAATATGGTACTTTGTAAACCTTTAATGGCCACAGCCCTTTAGTTTAAAAAAATATATATATATTGTGTTTTTTTTTTTTACCTCTTAAAGGGAAACCGTCACGACTAACCTGACCCTTATAGAAGTGGGTGTTATCCTTCTATAATACCCACCTCCAGTCCGCCCGCTCTCCTCCTGCTATCTTTACGGATTTGCCCTGCCTGGGTACACGTCGAAAAAAAGGGCAAACCTCCTCGATGACAGTGACACTCTGCCTGGCTTCATTGCCACCATCAGAATGAAGTGACGTCACTCTGTTCCAATATTCCCTAGCCAGCGCTAGCAGCGTTAGCTAGCGACTTTCATTAGCAACCAAAGTGCATGCGCTTTGGTTGCTATGTACGGGGAGCACCTGTGTGAGGTTACTTACTACTGTGACAGAGTCTATGCCGAAGAATTGATTGACAGCTAGGAGAAAGACCTGTAAAACTGCTAGCACAATGTATAAATAACAGCTAATTTATTAAATTGAATACCAGCATTGAGAATAACTGAGTAATTGAATCCATATGCCTAGCTTATAATAAGGACCAAGCTGTGATACAAAACAGCCCCATATACCTCCAGCAATGCTCTTGTAGATGTGTGCAGTAATGGAGACTTGTCCCATTAACATGTTATCATCATGGCAAATTGGATCCTTACAGGGACTTCACCCAGAGAGAAATCACCGACACTGCCAGTCACTAACACCAAGTGAACTTTCAGCATTGCGCATAAACATGCCAAGTGTTGAGTGTATGCGTTAGGTACATCTAAATATTGAATTCAGTTTTACCCTATCCCTAGAATCGTAATTCTTAAATGGCTTGTACCGTAACACTTATCCTTAAAGTAGCACTCTAAGCACCATAATCACTACAGCTCAATTTGCTACATTGTCAAAGTCTCCTGGTGCTGTCACCTTGTTTTAAATCAAACCGTTTAGCAATTCTAATCCGCCACAGCACTTTCAGCCATCAATGCTGTCAAAGTTGGACAAAATTGCTATTAATAACGCAAAAGTGTTAATGCCACATTATTAATGCTGCACAGAAGGGGGCGGTCTCAAGGTGCTAGAAGGAAGTCCCATTCTATATCAAAACATTCCAAAAGGGTTGGTTTCACATTAAAATGAGGGGTGGCACAAAGACACTCTAGTCAACATAATGACTACAGCGAGTTGTGGTGGTTATCTAGATTAGAGAGTTCTTTCAGCTTTTACTCCAGTACATCTAAACCAAACTGTATATACTGATTCCCAATCTCTAAAATATAGCATTTGATTGCTTCATAACCAAAACGTAACTTAAAATCATAAAATTGCCATAATTATTTCTCTATCATTGGCATTAGGGTTCTTACTAAAGACAGGGAAATAATGACGCCATATTTAAATGCTGTGCATACTTAGTAGACATATATATAATCGCCAAAAGGTCAGCACCGTATGATTTCACTGGTTCTACAGAAAAATGATCATTGAACATTCTACCTTAAGAAAGACGGTTCCGGCGGAGCCTAGCACCGGACCGGAGCGGTCGCACATTGCCGGAGCTCCGAGCTACCGCACGGCAATCCAGCCACATCGGGGGCATCCCGCACTAATCCCGGCCACATAATCAGCCACAGCCCGCAGGGACCCTCGCTGAAACCGCCGATGCCGTTTCTCCTGACGCCGGCTCGAAAAATAGACGCCGAGGCGGCAAGGCCTACCGGGCAGGGAGGCAACCTCAACCCAGCACGGGAGAACACTGGCCCTGGAGTGTCCCAGAATTTGAGGACTGGTACCCCAGCACACACAGCTCAGGTGAGATGGGGCGCAGAACACAGAAACCGCCCCAAAACCACAGCGCGACATAGGCCAAATGTTACAGGCCCCAAGCGCAGTAAAGGCACAGACCCCCCGTGAAACCTCCCCAGCACCATCAGAGGAGGAAGAATCACTAGACAGCCCACACCTCAATCCCCAACACCCCACACGCGTGGATGCCAGAAGCCAGCGCACCGGCCTCCAAACAAGACATACAGGCTATGCTGACAGGCCTGCAGCAGAACTTAAGACAAATGTGGGAAGCGGACCTGGCAGTGCTTAAACTAGACGTGCACGCCGTGTCCACGCGCACTCAAGCGGTAGAAGAGGAGGTAAAGGGACTAAGAGGGAACTACCAGGAATTGGGAGAGACGGTGCGACACCTTCAAGCTGCACAAGCAACAATGTCCAGGCAAGTTACTCTCCTAGATGATAGGGGGCGTCGAAAGAACATAAAAATCCGAGGGGTACCTGAATCGATACCGCTGGAAGAGTTGCCACATTTCATCAGACGCCTTGTGGCCACACTCCTGCCAACTAGACAATCTAAAACGTTCCAGTTCGACGGGGTTTACAGGATAGCCAAATCCCCACAAGCACCCAACTCAGCCCCAAGGGACATAATCTTGAGATGCCAATGAATGCTGGACAAACTGGGGCTAATGGCGGCTATGCAAGGGAAAACACCTCTTGACTTTGAAGACAGCAAACTCTCCTTCTTTCAAGACTTGAGCAGGGCCACACTGATGTGGCGCAAAAGTATGCAACCTATTACCAAACAACTCCAAGCCGCAGGAGTAGCCTATAGATGGGCAACACCAGGAACTCTCTGGGTCACTAAAGATGACAAGCACTACAGAGCTACCGACCACGCAGAGGGCCCGGCACTGATGACCGCATTGGGAATATCGAACCTCGCAGCGACCTCTATGACACAGCCGGCTCAACGACCAGGGACAACGGGCACAGATTCATCCGCAACTCCTGGAATAAGCAGAGGACCGAAAACCAAAACCTGAACGAACTGCCTCACCGACGGCCTCATAGGCCTTAGTTTCACTAGTTTAAATATTTTAAAGTTGATAAATCGGTTCATTTAAGTTAAATGTAGTTCTCTCACATTCTGACGGCTATAACAGTGCTAAAGTGGCCCACCAGAGCCGCGCACACTAGCTCCGATAACAATCCCCCCCCCCCCTTGGGTTAATGGGAAACGACATCAAAGGCGACATAATCCTGACTGGAATCAGGCTCATCGCGAGGTCTGATGCCCCAAGGGCACAACTTAATCCGGTCACACTACAGCGACCTATGTATATACATAGACACGATTTGTAGTTACCACTAGGGCCACAAAGACACCCTGAGCACCACACACATGGGCACCCACCAATAGCTACGACCAGGGAAAAGCAAAAGAGGAGCGGACATAGTCCTAGACAGGCACCATTAGAGAGACCCCGTAACTACCGCAATCCGCATCCTTACCCAAACTCAAAAGGGTCAAGAGACTTACCCAACACCCATTACTATAGCCGCACGACCTAGAATTGGGACCAGCCAATGGACCTAGCAGTAAATGCCTTTCCTCCCCCACCTACGACTCCACAGACCTTAGGGTGTCTTAGGCAGACAGAAGTCTTCCACCCCTACGGTTATTAGATTTTAAAACCTCACTGTAACAATGTGACCTATTGTAAATATAAAATGTGTGTAAATAGCACACAACAATGCCTTGTATTTGATATGTACTGATTCTAATCGATGTGTCGAGGCTGTTGTGGCCAACTTCCTGAATATGTTATCTTTCCACATGAAAAAAAAAAAAAAAAAAAAAGAAAGACGATTCCAGGCTCTGAAGCATGTCATGCCAGGTCCCATACGAACACAGCAGTGCTTTCCACAGTAAACATGTGCGAAGGCTTTGTTTTTACAGTTTGTTTTTATTAAGCAGAGTGGAACAAGGTTCACGTTGAGAGGAAAGTAAGAAACCAACCCTGTTTCCATGACAAAAAACTAAAAACCAAGTAGTAGGACATCCCCATATGTTATACATAAAAAAATGCAGGGAAAAAATGCAACAAAATTGAAAAGGAGATAGATAGTCTATATTACAAATTTATAGTATCTAAACTGTACCATTAGTAGGACATGGAGTAAAAGAAGGGCTTAACCCTGATATAAATGTAATAAACCTGCCAATAGGTCTGAAGAATAATTTGCTCCAAGTTCTACTGGACTTTCAAAATGGCAAATCAACCTGAAGTAACACTTTATATTGAACCCCCAATAAATAATAATTTTCAAATTCCACTGACAATTAAAAGCATTTCTGTCTTTATGTTCATTTCATGAGAAGCCTTTATATGTTCAATTGGGAAGTATAGAAGGAATTACGGTACCTTCTTTAGAAAACAAACACCTGTAGTTGTCAATAGAATTTAAAAATAATTCTTTATTTGGGGTTCAATGGCTAGATCTCAGCTTACAGACGGGGCCTTCTCTACATTGTGTATGTGTCTTTTGTATATTGTATGTTCTCCCCTAATTGTACTGCGCTACAGAATATGTTGGAGCTTCATAAATGCTGGTTATAAACAGACATTGTTAACACATGTTCATTTGCCATTTGGAAAGTAGTAGTATAGCAGAACATGGAGCAAAGTGTTCTTCTGATCAATGTGGCAAGTAAAAAATGCTTATTGAAATATTCAGAACTTGAGGTACACAGAGTTTGCTAAATATAAGGCAATTACCAACACAGCTTATTGTAGAGGCACATGGAGTCTTTGGGTGCAGTCCCTCTGATTTTCCCCAAATATTTTTGAGCACTCCATTAATCTCAATAGAGTAATAAATCCACTGAAAGGTAATTGTTGGTAGCATTGCATACAACTTGGGGTTACAATATAAACCGATTAAAACTGCTAGAACAGTACTTTTTACTGACATACTCTCGACACCAGGGGTCGGCAACCTTTGGCACTCCAGGTGTTATGGCCTACATCTCCCTTGATACTTTGCCAGCATTTTGGCTGTAGAAGCCTTATGGGAGATATAGTCCACAACATCTGGAGTGCCAACAGTTGCCGACCCCTGCCTTTTATCTAATACAAGTGTATTTTTGCTTTAAATCAGTGATTTCCACTACCAATTTCCCTTTAACCCCTTAAGGACACAACTTCTGGAATAAAAGGGAATCATGACGGAATATTTCCGTCATGTGTCCTTAAGGGGTTAAAACAATACACAACATGCACAATATTGAGTGTATACCTGATGACTATATTAACTTTTCCTTTTAAAGCCACCTTTCAAGTGGATGACAGACCATAACAAATTGCTCACCTTTTGTCTGTGGTTTCTGTTAGGTCACTTGGTGTGGCAGCATTATAGCCATTAACATCTTGGCTTGCTAACAAATGATTAATTAAATGAGAATAGTGGGTATACAGTAGCCCTGCAATGATTTATACAGATGTAATCTATTTCTAATTTACTTGCAGTTACAATCACCAGAGGTGAGGAACATTAAGGGGAACTAAGTTTGCCCCCTTTGATGCAAACTTTTTTCACGCAAGCCGTGTATTACATTGTTGCAGCTTTTTGTCTGTAGGCATGTTTAATCACATTGAGACATGCACTTACATGAAATCTATTGCAGGGCAAGCTTGTTACTTGCTCCTGGTACCCATCCTATTCTGTGTTGAAAACAACCCTAGTTTGCAAACTGGACCTTGACTGGGGTATTATGAATACGGGTAATGCGTATGGCAAACATGCCTTCCTTCCTCTGTATCCCTTCTTAGTCAGATTCCCCATTTTCTCATGTTTTTGTATTTTAAAGTTTCAATGACAGTTGATATAAATCTATAGTAAATATTAGGCTGCTGTGTATACTTAGTCATCGTGTTAATTACTACGATTTAAAGAGGCAAATCTGAGCAACAGAGCCTCTACAACCCACCATAATGCACACCTCCAAACTACATTTAGAGACCTTGCTTTGTATTTTGTTTACAGCAATATAAATATTAATTAACAGCCTCAAGGTGCAAGGGTCGGTCTGATACCTAGTAATGAAAACAAGGTTTGGAAAAAGAACGAACCCTACGGAAGTTTGTGATGCAGCAATGCAGATAAGCGAAGTGTTAAAGAGACAGTTAATTCCTGCAAGACTTGTCACCGGACCGCAAAGAAAATACTGATTGGTTTGAAGTTGTTATGGTGCCCAGAGTTGTCCTTTAAGAATGTGCGAATGGATATAGGGCTGCAAAGCCCCTGCAGACAATCGTGTAATTTTTCAGGAGCACTCTCTAATGCTGACGCACCGGCGTCATCTTCACATTGTCCCAACCAAATAGGCACTTGCGCCAGTAATGTGGCTCTGCTCACTGATTTTGATGCACCTTCGTCAATTTCTTGCCAGCATGTTCCTGAAGCAGCGTCAATCTCACCAGGCTGCGCTCGCATCATTCTGGCCTCGATCATTCAACAGTTACGCCTCCTATAAAGATCTTGATAAAAGTCCCAAATGGGGACTGAAACGTTGATGGTGATGTCATTTGCACTTATCGTCTTCAAATAAAGCCAAGGAAAAACTTTATGCAAGTCCTGTGTGTGCTCTACTTTTTGTGCCTGTGTGTATGTACATTTATAAATATTACTTTAATATTCTTGTTCACACTGTGGCCAACCGCAGTGCTGGCAAATCTCATGCAGAATGTTTCTTTCCCAATCGCCAGGAAATCCCCATGACTCAGACTAGGAGAGAGTTGGGCAGCCTCCGGCTGCTTTTGTTTTTTAAAAAGTCCATTCACCTGTTAATATTAGCTTTTTAAGATTCAGCTGATAAAGGGGTATAGTACAAAACAGAAATTGTCTTAACAACCAAACAGTAAGAAGTTAGTACAAACTGTGCAATCTGGTATCAAGTTACACAAACACACACAGAGTTGATATTCAGATATGGGTCTCGTGTCATTTTAGCGGCACATCTTATTGCGGTTTCAGCATTGCTTTTCCCCAGTGTCATGGAGACCCCACTGATCCTGGGAAAAGTCTAGTGAAGGTGTCTTACAAAATCTATTGTAATGTTAAATACAATATATATTATTTAATTTATTAATGAGGAATGGCAGTTACATTCTTCATTATATACTGACCATATTTATTAAAGTGTTCTAAACGTGATCTGAAAAGTGACGGTTTTCCATTTCAGAAGACCGCCAAATTTATTGTGGCGGGAAAGTCATGTGTAACGGAACACTTTTCTGTTTAAAAAAGTAGTGGAAAATTCATAAAATCTGTTAGGAAAAAATTTAATATAGTGAATTTAGAAGTAGGGGCTACTTTCTCACATGTAAAAAAAACAAAACATATTTTGTTGGAGGTTAGGCAGTGAGCCTAGGCAGAGCTTCTGTAGACACATTCTGGAAAATGCACCTTTTTGTGATTGTGTGATCACATCTATGATAAGATCTATGTAGGATCTTTGGCAGACACAAGTAGGTGTGAGAGTTCTGAGACCTGCTATTTGGTCTCTTGTCTAACTACCTCGCTTATGGGCCCAGTCCATATCACAGTCTCTAGACCTACTCTGTCCTACTTCCATGGAAATTAGTCACGGGAACACAGTCTACTTGGCCAACTCCCCGGGAATGTCTACATACAGAATAACCCACCTCCCCCACTAAATGCTGGGTTTGGGTCTAAGTCACAGCCCTTCTCCCAGTTAGTGTGTGTTCAGTCTCAGAGGCCCTTTACTTGGGACCCTGCATTCATGGAGTACCTGGTGTGGTAAATCGTTACCCATTACCCAGATTGACTCTATATCTAGAAACCCCACTGATTTTGGCACATTACTAGACCTACTGCTATGCTACTACCAAGGACCCATAACCTTAGTCAAGGTGAAATCATTGTTTGGTCTCTCTGGTCCATCTACAGAGCCAACAGGAAGACACACAAAATGCATTGTCCCCAAATCGCATTCCCAACAAACCACTGGCAGGAATCTGCCTGGACACAGCCAAGATGTGCAAACAAATCATCACATTCAGTCTGTACAGCATGATAGTCCATTCCTATCCCAGAGGCAGCCCTCTTTACATTTAAGTTATTTATAATTTCCAATCTCTGCCTCCTCCAGAGAACAAGAGATGCAAAGCCTACCAGACTCACAGTCACTTTGCCTACCCTGTGAGATGCTGCAGAGGGCAAAGCCCATCTTTGTGCTCAGCAGGTAGCGGTCTCTTTTTATGGGTGTTGGGCACATCAGGATGCGTTTTCTCTGCACAGCTGCAAGGGATGGGAGTAGAGCAGCCCGCAGCTGGTGTTGCAGCTCCGGTCCTTGACCTGTACCTGGCCGGCCTGGTCCACTAGAACCCAGGGAAGCCACCAAAAACTGCTAGATATACACAGAGCTGCAGCATACCCTCCCCTCATACAGATAATATGAACAGCCTACACACAAACACACACAATCCCCACAAACGCAACACCACTAACAATCCACATACATACACACAACCCTACATGCAGCCTCTCACGTGCCATACCCCAAACAGTGCCATACACAGAGCATCAAACACACAATGTGACATTTCCATCCACACACACACAATTCCACAAGTAGCCTCCATACACAGCCCCCATTCATATGTATCATACACGATACCACAAACTACTCCTGAACATATACAATATGATAGCTCATATACGCACAAATACAACGATACAACTGCAGTATAAATAACACAAGCAGAATACGGCAGCATTCACACCTCAATTTTAAAAAATAGGACCGGCACGCTGTGGGACATCACAATCTTATTTCAGCACAGTGCTGCTAAAAGGTTGCTTAGACAATACATTCCATGGCTTTGCTGCAACTAGGACATTTTTCTCATGTGAACGATCAATGCAAGAAAGCCAACAAGCTACTGTGTCAATATTAGTGCTGTATTTCTACTGCAGGAAGAGCTTAAAATGTGTCCATAGAAGTTACAACACAGACTCTATCAACCAGAAACCCTTACTTGCCCTCTTTAAACTTCCTCAAATAGATAAATACACAATTCTTGCTTCTAACAATGTCAAGCTGCGGATAACAAAACAAATATAATGCATGGAATAGCCTTCCAACTGAAGTGGTAGAGGTTAACACAGTAAAGGAGTTTAAGCATGCGTGGGATAGGCATAAGGCTATCCTAACTATAAGAGAAGGCCAGGGACTAATGAAAGTATTTAGAAAATTGGGCAGACTAGATGGGCCGAATGCTTCTTATCTGCCGTCACATTCTATGTTTCTATATAAAACAAAACAAAAGAAGCCTAACACCTAAAGCTAAGAGAAGGAATGGTCGAACATCTGGGACTAATGACACTTTAAGATCTATCCTACTGGTACAAGTTCAGTCCGTAAGGTACTTAAAAAAGAAGTGTTTATAAACTAAACACTGAGTTTTGATGGATTAAACAAACACATTGCAAAATGTAGGCAAAAAGTAATGATTTAGAAAAACTCTCCAACTTCCAACTTGACTATATCAGCTTAATTTTTGCTATTTAACTGTCTTAATATTTAAGGAAAACCCTTAGGGCAGGGGTCAGCATGTACGGCACTTGAGGTACCTTTGCACGGCACTCAAGGCTGCTAGAGCCAAACAGACTTTGGACTATCAGGAGTCCTAGTGGGCCTTCAGATATCTGCTAGTGCAAATCCAGCCGTGATTGCAGGTGATGGACAATCCTTAATTAACTCATTGCAGCATTTAGAGGAAGTGATCTTACATCACTTCCTCCCAGCACTTGTGAATGGCAATCCACACTGGAGAAGAGCAGCGCTGCCCTTGACCTTTACCTGGCCCGCACTGGACCCCAGGGAAGCCACCAACACTGCTAGATGCACACAGAGCTGCAGAAGTAGCCTCCTCGTCATACAAATAATACAAACAGCCCACAAACTATCATACACACACACAGCAACACTGACATTCACATTCATGCACACAACCTCAAAAGCAGCCTCACATGCAATACCACAAATACCCCCTCCCCCCCCCCACATACACACACACCACGAAAAACACTGACATTTAATCCACAACACAATTCCACAAGCAGCCCCCATATGCAGGTATTATACACAATTCCACAAACTATTCATGATCACATCCAATATAACAGCCCACATATGTGCAAATGGAACGCTACAAAGCAACTGCAGCACCCATATATACCACAAGCAGAATGCAGCAACATACACACCTCGATTTGTAAAAATAGTACCGGCACGCCAAGAGACATCAAGATATTCTTTTGGCACAATGCTACTGAAATGTTGCATACCCCTGCCTTAGGGTTTCATTACCTAAACTGTGAATTGGGATGAATTGACAACCAGGTCAAATCAGGGAAAAGGAAAAAAAAAATATATATCTCCAATTTCATGGAAATATACGAAATTTAAAAACAAAAAATGAACTCCACTATTTTGGCCTAAGCTTTCAAATGTGTTTGTTTTTATCTTATTCCAACTCACGGTTAAGCACATAAACTTATCTAAACATCACAAGAACAAGAACAGATTACGGCGTGGGGACTTCGTCAAAGTCCCAGGAAGCATAGGACCCCCAGACAGTACGCCTTACCTTGTGTTAGACTCTGAAGTGGCAGTTCTGCACGCTGCAGTTAGCTGTGGTCTGGAGAGCTGCAAGGGTGATTTCACAATGGTTCCATGCCTGCGTGCTGGCTCGTACTGCTGGGGGAATGATGTAAACAGAAAGGCATGTAAGGCAGAGGACGATTAGTTATTTATTTTTTTTAAACTGGAAAATCCCTGATACTGTCCAATCAGCAGACTAGGAAGTGATCTACCAGGTTAACCCTTTGAGTAGAGGGTTTGGGAGAACAGGGGGATATAAACCGGGAATCTGTCTGAAAATGCTAGCTTATATTAGATGTAGAATTTTTTCCTAAGCTACTCTCCACATTTTGACCAGCTAACATTTTCTTGCCTGTTCTGGATAATGTCTAATCAGAGGTTTCTCACTGAGAAGCTTAAAGGACCACTATAGGCACCCAGACCACTTCAGCTTTTTTCTATAAACATAGCAGTTTCAGAGAAACTGCTATGTTTACCTATGGGTTAATCCAGCCTCTAGTGGCTGTCTCATTGACAGCCGCTAGAGGGCTCCCGCCAGCGTCCATAGGAAAGCATTGAGAATGTTTCCTATGAGACTGGCTGAACGCGCGCGGCTCTTGCCGCGCATGCGCATTCAGACGGTGACGGAAGAAGAGGGAGGAGAGGAGGAGGAGAGTCCCCCGTCCGGGGATAGAGAAAGAGGTAAGTTTTACCCCTTCCATCCCCTACAGCCCGACGGGAGGGGGGCCATGAGGGTGGGGGCACCCTCAGGGCACTATAGTGCCAGGAAAACGAGTATGTTTTCCTGGCACTATAGTGGTCCTTTAATGAACAAATAGTGCATGCTCATGACTGCCCAGTCATATGCTACGCAGGACATACTTGAAATGAGAGAAATCTCACTGTATTCTTCCTGGTGAAATAATTTATAAGAGAAATAAATATTTCTCAATGAGCTGTATTATTGTGTCGGAGAGGCAAGCGTCACAGAGTGCGCAAGCATGATCTGGTGCCTTTAAAGAGGCGCTAGTATGTAGACACATTCAGGGGCCTGGATTACGTAAAAGTTACACAGTAACCAGGGGTAAGATGTTGCACTCGGCAGGGGTCTTAAAGACATATGAGCGATGTAAGTTGAGAGAACCCTCTACGCACTAAACTATCAGAAGAGCAATGTCCACATTATGTGAGTAACAGTAGGTGGTGGGGCGGGGCTTTATGTTCTGGAATTGCTTGAAAACAACTACAACAACCACTTGAGTACGCTGTACTGGTTGTAGTGCTTACAGCACGGGGGAACAAAAGGCAGACCCCCAGATGTTTTAAAACTGCAGTTTCTATGATGCTTTGTCATTCTAAAGGCACGCAAAGCATCATGGGAATTGTAGTTCTACAACATCTGGAGATATAACTTCTGGGCACCCCTGGCTTAGAGTGACATGTTCTTCCACCAGCGATGTGACTGTTCTGCTTTTGCAACTTCAAAGTTTTTTTCTAATCTCGTCACTAGCATAAATGGACGTCTATGTAAAAGCGTCCTAGATTGAAATCTAACGAGCATAATCGAACTGTAGTTTTTAGGACACTGGAGATTTGTCACAGTGTTCTGTTGTAAAAAGTGGGAGAATCACTATGGAAACCAAACATGTACATTAAATTAGTGTCTCTCCAATTTTTTAACCACTAATAACCCCACCCCCACCCATGAATCATATGACACGTCAGATGTCAAAGGCAACACAAACGTATGATGCAAAAACAAAACAAACTATTTTAGAACTAACTGGGTTATTTTCTAAAGTGAGAATTCAAATTAGCCAGAGTAGCAGAACTTTTCTGACCTTTAATTTGGAAATCACTTTGAACGGACATTAAATTATCACGTTAGAAAATGACCTGCAAAATACTCAGAGGTTTATTTACTAAACTCTGAATTGTAGTGGATTAACGTTCAAATCACAGAATAAACAAATGTGCTTGTAACACAAATGAACCAGTTTATTTCTGGTTGCAAGTTCCGTCTTTGTACCAGCCAGCAGTTATGGATCACATGCTTGCGCTAAACACACAAACCACTTTCTAAAATTCACAAAACACTGAACTATAGTGAATTGACAGTAAACCGCAACATTTAGGCTAAAACGATGATTTGATTTAATCACACTTTGGCTCTTGTAGCCTGGATTTTGCAATTAAGTTTCAAATTCATTACAATTTAGGGTTCAGTGCCAAAACTCTGATGTGAAAGCTAAGAATCAGAATGAAACAAACATGTTTTTTGTTTTTAATTGCCCAACTAGGGGAATTATGATTGAAAGCTGTATTTGCATATCGTTTCCATCATATGAATCAAGCTTTTTATAGCTGTGCTGAGATGTGTCAATATGAACAGGCGCGTGCAGCCACCAACTCACATATGATATTATCAGCATCATGATTCATAGCATGTTAGGGGCACCTCCAACCTAACACCACCCAGTATTTACATATTGACAGGGGGGAAGCTGCAGATATATACTTAAGCAGGGCCCTCACCCCCTCTGTTCCTGTGCGTCCAACTCATCTGGTTACAAATACGTGTCTGCTAGTCCACCCATTGTGCAGCGCTGCCGAATTTGTTGGCGCTTTACAAATAATAAAAATAATATACTATTTACTATGCATTAACAGGGTTACACCATTTAAAGGGAAGGAGGTATTCCTGGCGCTATAGCTTCCTCTGCCTCCCCCGTGCCAGGGTAAATAAATGGTTAAAAACCCTTTATTTACTTACATTTACTTACATGTCCATCAGCGCTGTGGCAATGCCCTGCCCCCTCCGACGTCCCGCCATGAGTGGGTGCTAATGCGCATTGAATTAATTCTTTCCTACGGGGTAAAATCTGACGCTGGATGTCCACATGCAGAGCGTGAGGATGTCCAGCGTCAGATACAGGACCAAAGGTCTGTTTCGATTCAGGAAGCCCTCTAATGGTTCTCTGGTAGACAGCCACTGTGGGCAGACCTAGAGCTGCAATGTAAACATTGCAGTTTCTCTGGAAGTGCAATGTTTAACATTGCAGCACTAAGGGCAGTAGAGACACAGCACCCAGACCACTTCAATAGGCTGAAGTGGTCTGGGCGCCTACAATGTCCCTTTAACTTTGACATAAAAGCAAGGAGGAAGTAGCAGCGTCACGTATTAATAGGACACAACCAACAGTTACACACCTTTTACTACATCGCTGATAGGTACATTGCAATTTAGAAACGTTTAAGCTTAAGTAGCTGAACCCAGCTATAGTCAGAACTGAAGATTGCAGTTTAGTTGGCAATTCACCACCATTCACTATTTAGTGAACATTCCCCTTATTCTTCACCAGCAGAGCAGACTCCAAACCCATACATTTGAATGCACAAATGCTCGTAGTATACTAGTCTCCTCCGCCAAATAAAACCTAAATGAAGAGTCGATTAGAGAAACCACCTGGAGCTTGCCTCTACGTCCACGCTGGGCAAATACAAAGTAGGTAATGGTCAGCTCTTCAAAATGCTGTCACAGGAGAGTGTCATATGGAGAGGTTTAACTCCCAGACAGCAAGAGTTCAGACAGTTAGTCCGCTGTTATTCTATATGTTCCATAGAATACGTCACTGCCCATCCTTAGTAAAACAAGGATAATGATTCAATAACACAGGAAGAGAATGAGAATTGCAAAACACTCAGGAAACGTAAACATGGCAATCGTAAACCCAATCAAGACAGCTAAATTAAGATTTTCTCTTGTTTTTTTTAAAATACCGATTTAGGTATGGACGCTATTACTAGCTCAATGATAAACATATAATTAATATCACAATGACGACACCTGGGAACAGTACACGAAACATGGAGGTTTGCACTCGTATTAAGGTTGGAAGATTAACTGCAATATAGATTCATCTGTCTCAATTTGGATAACCAACTGTTGTGATTAGGGGGAATGATTCTATCCCTAAACTTTTATTTTGAACAATCGAATAATTCATTGGGAACAGTTATTTGGAAAACATTTCATGTCATACGCTAGTGTACGTTTTAGGATTACTGCCGGTATAAACCCTTCTGTAACAAACTATTTAATTCCCCTACTTTAACCCTTTGTGTCACTATACCCCACTCCCTCTAGCATGTAAGCTCATCAAGCAGGGCCCTCAACCCCCTCTGTTCCTGTACGTCAGTGGTCTGACCTCAATTATGTGTCTGTTAGTCCACCCATTGTACAGCGCTACGGAATTTGTTGGCGCTATATAAATAATAAAATAATAATAATAATAATATAATACATTTATATAAAGCGTGAATCCTAAAATCTAAATACTGCACAATTTTTACAAACTAGCTTCCCATTTCTAAAATCGGTATGCACAATATTTCACAACAAAAAAAATGGATTCCAAGCGCTTGCACACTGAGTGTCCAGTGGGAGAAAGGTGATATATAAATACTAGTTACTATAACCTAAGAGAATGGACCATGTTAAAGAGAGCACTGAAACTGCTTCATTTCATGGTTATAGTGTCTGGAGTTACCTGGTGCCCTCATACAAAAAATAAACATGTTTGAGCTAATGAAGACTTATTAACCTAAGCAACAATGGGTGGCTTTGACGGACTGAGAGTGTCAGCTGGTCACCTACAGGTCCCACTCCTGGTATGAGTTGATATAGCTAAAAGGAAGTAAGTAATCTCTGCCTTCGGCATATTTCCAGTAGGGGCTGGGGTTTGGGTGGCCAGGGACCTTATTTAGCATCAATCTTCTCAAAAATGATGTGAAAGTTAATTGAGAGACAGTGTCAAAGGACTCTATAACCAATTCAAAGAGAAGAAATTGTTGTAGTGTCCCTTTAATGTTTACGTTATGTTGCCTAGAATGTCCCCTGGTTTAATGTTAAACTATTTGGAAATGGTTTGACACACACCAAGGATCTTTCTTCTATATTGAGATGGACAACTCTAAAGTAGTGTGCAGTATTGTGCATATTGGTTGATTCTAGAACTGAATACATTGTTAAGCAAGCTTATGTCAGTATCTTAACACCAACTGAAATATAGAGTTATGCCACCATGTGGGGCTTTACCTACTCAAGGCTCATCTTTGAGTTCCAGTGGTGCTTATTATCATAGACATCAAAGGACACACTTAGCATTAGTCGCAAGGTCATAACAGGCTATATATCTTGTTGCGCATTGTAAAATTCAAGTCATAAAACACAATCACTTACTGAGGAATAAATACATTGATTCCCAATCCATCATACATTCTAGTTTAGTATCACTTCCTATTACTCCTCAGTAGCAGCTGGTGATGGTACATTAGAAGGTTTTGCAAGGTGAAAAAATATAGATATATATTCACCTACTAAAAACCTTCCACCCCCACCATCATCAGTTACCAGGGATCTTCATACATTTAAAGGACTGACAGCCTCTAAGGAGACTAAAGTGGTCTAGGAATTTATATTGGGTCCACATATGTATATAATTAGTTCAGTGGACATCCCTTCCCGTCAAGCATTGTAGGGAGAGAAACACCATTGTAATCACATGAAATGGCAATGAACCTCTATCAGTCTGTATGACTCCCCCATTTTAGTGTTCCTCACTCCCTCCTTTGTCGCCCACCTCATGACCCATGTCACTACCACTCGTTCCAGGTTGATTCCCCTGACTTCTTCAGCTCAACATATTCCATGTCACCTCAGCTCACTTCTCTAAAGCCCCATCTTAGATCACATCCTGGACTCCCTTCCTTCATCCATGTGAATTGCCCTCCTTTTTTGCACTGAGCCAGACTTCCCAGTTTACTCCCCTTCACCTCCCTTTTTGTCATTTGTAACCATAATCTTATATCATTTTCCTACCCATCCTTCCTCTAATTAGTTACAAATTCCGCAGCGTTGTACAATAGGTGGATTAACAGGAAAGTATTTGCAACAAGACAAGTTGTGCACAAAGGAGTAGAGGGTGCTGAGGGCCCTGCTCAAACAAGCTTACATTCTGTCACTATCTCCGACTCACCCATTTAATGTCACTCCCTCATCTCACTCCCGTCTCCATCATTTAATGTCACTTTCTGTAACCCCGCCCCCTCGATCCCAATTGATATCACTCCTAATATCCCCAATATGCCCTTCTTCTTCATTCCCCCCCCATAACACCCCACCTCACCATATCTACTGCCAATATCCCTCCTTTCCCTGCTCCATGAACTGTGCTCATCACACATTCCTCTGCTAGTGTCAATGCCATCTCATGAGCACCTGGCCCACTCCTTGCCCCTACCCCATCCTGTTATGACACTATACAAATTAAATGCCCCATCCTGCCAGGCTTCATCACCAACCAATTTCCCCATGCACCCATTCTGCCCAGGTACCTTGCACCCTCACTGCCCCCTGCATGCATCCTGACAGACTCCCTGACACCTGAACAACACTGCTAACTCCCTGCCTCTGAAAACATCCTACTAGGCTAACTGCCTCAATCACTGCCCCTGTACCCATCCTGCCAGTCTCCCTGGTACACATTCTATCCCCCTGTACCCATCCTGCCAGTCTCCCTGGTACACATTCTATCCTCTGTACCCACCCTGCCAGTCTCCCTGGTACACATTCTATACCCCTGTACCCATCCTGCCAGTCTCCCTGGTACACATTCTATCCCCCTGTACCCATCCTGCCAGTCTCCCTGGTACACATTCTATACCCCTGTACCCATCCTGCCAGTCTCCCTGGTACACATTCTATACCCCTGTACCCATCCTGCCAGTCTCCCTGGTACACATTCTATACCCCTGTACCCATCCTGCCAGTCTCCCTGGTACACATTCCTGTCCCCTGTACCCATCCTGCAGTCTCCCTGGTACATTCTATCCCCCCTGTACCCACATCCTGCCAGTCTCCCTAGTGCATTCTATCCCTATTGCCTGCCAGTCTCCCTAGTACACATTCTATCCCCCTGTACCCATCCTGCCAGTCTCCCTGGTACACATTATCCCCCCTGTACCCATCCCTGCCAGTCTCCCTGGTACATTCACATCCCCTGTACCCATCCTGCCAGTCTCCCTGTGCACATTCCTGTCCCTATGCCCATCCTGCCAGATGCCCTGGTACACATTCTATCCCCCTGTACCCATCCTGCCAGTCTCCCTGGTACACATTCTATCCCCCTGTACCCATCCTGCCAGTCTCCCTGGTACACATTCTATCCCCTGTACCCATCCTGCCAGTCCCCCTGGTACACATTCTATCCCCTGTACCCATCCTGCCAGTCTCCCTGGTACACATTCTATCCCCTGTACCCATCCTGCCAGTCTCCCTGGTACACATTCTATCCCCTGTACCCATCCTGCCAGTCTCCCTGGTACACATTCTATCCCCCTGTACCCACCCTGCCAGTCTCCCTGGTACACATTCTATCCCCCTGTACCCATCCTGCCAGTCTCCCTGGTACACATTCTATCCCTTTGCCCCATCCTGCCAGTCAGCCACAAACACACATTCTATCCCCTGTACCCATCCTGCCAGTCTTCCACCAATTTGCACATTCCATCCCCTGTACCCATCCTGCCCAGTCTCCCTGGTACACACATTCTATACCCTGTACCCATCCTGCCAGTCTCCCTGGTACACATTCCTGCCCTGTACCCATCCTGCCAGTCTCCCTGGTACACATTCTATCCCCTGTACCCATCCTGCCAGTCTCCCTGGTACACATTCTATCCCCTGTACCCATCCTGCCAGTCTCCCTGGTACACATTCTATCCCCTGTACCCATCCTGCCAGTCTCCCTGGTACACATTCTATCCCCTGTACCCATCCTGCCAGTCTCCCTGGTACACATTCTATCCCCCTGTACCCATCCTGCCAGTCTCCCTGGTACACATTCTATCCCCTGTACCCATCCTGCCAGTCTCCCTGGTACACATTCTATCCCCCTGTACCCATCCTGCCAGTCTCCCTGGTACACATTCTATCCCCTGTACCCATCCTGCCAGTCTCCCTGGTACACATTCTATCCCCTGTACCCATCCTGCCAGTCTCCCTGGTACACATTCTATCCCCCTGTACCCATCCTGCCAGTCTCCCTGGTACACATTCTATCCCCTGTACCCATCCTGCCAGTCTCCCTGGTACACATTCTATCCCCCTGTACCCATCCTGCCAGTCTCCCTGTCTGCCTCCCAGTACTAACTCACCAACCGGCAGCCATCTTTTCCGGCTTTCATTCTCCCACCACAAGCTCCACCCACCGAGAAAGCCTACATTCCGAGAATTTTCCCCAACGCTTGGCATTATGGGAATTGCGGTCCTTTTTCTGCCACGCTGGCTTGAGCACTTACAGCATGCGTCACTACTTGAACTAGAACTCCCTGCATGCACCGCAATATAGCCCTAGCAGCCAATCCAACGCTTCTTCTTTGCTCCTGTCAGTCACGTTACGTTCACCAAGAGGCTGGGCCCAGCACAAACCACGCCCATTCCTGTAGACACAGTCAGCACTCAGGAATTGTTCTTTACTTGGAACGTTGGTGATAGGATGAATAGTCACGTGAGGCTCCCCATCCAATCACAGTGCAGCATTGTCCCTATATTAGTGCTGGGTGGAAGTGTTACAGTTCTTTATCTCTGTGGCTGAGAATGAGGTAGGTTGTGTAGGGGGCGGCTGGAGGGGCCTGACCATGTGGCGGACATTAAATGCATGTTATATTAATTTTAATATATAATGTAAAATACTTCATGTTTCTTTATATGTGGCTTTATTACTTGAACCTCATTCTAGTTTTTAATTTTTTTTTTTAACTCCATATTCTCCTGCTGCACCCCTCTCCCACCCCAACCAATAAATCCTGTGCTATTCTAGCTTTCAGTTTGGATGTAGTCTTTCTGTGGGTTTGTTTTCTGATTGTTTAATTCCTGGGCCATGAGTCCCAGCCTGTTATCATTGCAATCCCATCAGTGTGTAGCAGGGGACCCCCCATTGTGCAGTGTGTAGCAGGGGACCCCCCCATTGTGCAGTGTGTAGCAGGGGACCCCCCCCCCCCCCATTGTGCAGGGTAGGTAGCACTTGCTATCTGTTGTGTAAAGCAGCCTTCCTGCCCCTTGGCTGGTAGCATGCCCTGTATCTGGGGTTATCAGAGCACATTTTATGGTCTCCATGCTACCTAGAGATAGGGGTTAGTGCTGGGTGATAAGGAATAGGAAATTCTCCTTCTCTGCGATAACTAAACACGAACTCCAATCTGTAGAGGCATGCTGACTGATGTCTATTAAACTCGCAGGTGTTTGGGTTTATTTTATTTGTTCTCGTAATATGGTCATGCAAACTCCAGGTATTCTCTATTGTGCTCTAGTTGTAGCCGGAGTGATTCGATTCCTGCACCAGTACTTAATACATAGATATTTGGGGTATCCTGATTGCTTTGATTCCTGCACCAGTACTGAAAGATCCTCTAAATGTATTTTAAAAACTTTGAGCATGGAGAAAAATGCTGTAGTTTTAGTTCCACGTGGGGGGCATGGCAGTTTCCTTTCTCGCATATTTTTCCCCATTTCAAAGCTTTAATCAATCTCTTACCAGGAAGATGGCTAACTAGTGGCCAAGGAAACCTATATTTTTCGATGCAAATACGACAAATGTCCTCCTTACATGGGGTCCCCACTGCTGGCTTTCAGTTTAGTTCTCTGGAGCTGCAGTAATAGATATACTGTTGCAATATTCATGACTGAAACATTTAACGTTTCAAAATGGAATGACTTATCCTGGAGGCTTTAAAACCTTAAAACAAAGATGGTGCCTATAGAACTGATTTCTTTCATTACCCTTTTTAGTTACAGGGCAACAGTGGGCTTCTGGGATACATAATGGCAAATGTGTGATAAGCCAACATTAGCTATATCAATATAATCTCCCCACTCATACAGCTTTTGCTCTAAAGCTTAGATGTGCGTTAAACTTTTACGATTTGGACTGTTCTTATCAAGTAAGATTTGATACCATAATAAAAGTGCCTGAAATTTGAGCCATGTTTGATTGTATGCAATATTAAAAAGCCATTAACTTTATTTTTAGTGATTCAAGAGACTCTAGTATTCACCATGACCTCTTCGAAGGGACATGAAGTCATCCATGTGGATGGGGGCAGATGTGACCCTCAAGGTTAGTAATGTGATCTGATTGCAGTCTTACACACTGCAAGTATCTTGCCACTGATGTACTTATAATCCTAAAACCTTATATAAAAATGGTCTGTTTTTTTATGTATAGACAGATTCTTGCTTCTGTGCACTGGACTGAGGCATCAAACAGAAGACTCCAGTGCATCTGGTTTAGCTGATATCCCAATGGACTTCATTGCAATTACAAAAATGTAGATCTCAGATCCGTGGCTTCGGAGGGCAGTCGGTCGGGAGAAATAAGTGGTAAGCCGGCTAAATCTTTTCTTTATTAAATGCTGTTTTGGTGCTAGGATTGTTGGACATAAGTCTTCCTAGCACTGTAACTGGCTACTGCTACATTTAGGAATTGATCTTTCTGGCTAAAATGCTAGAACAGATATCGTGCAAAGACGTTTATTTTTAAATGTTCTATATCTGTACAGTTAAACATATCTGGGAGAACTATTGATCTGCAAGACTATGATGATATATAAAATTTCTGACACCTCGTATGAGTATTGCTTGAGCAGTACCTGATTTCTCTTTGTATCTGAAGTTCTTGCACACTTTTAAATTTTAGTATTTATGCTTATTTGAATGTGGACTTGTCCACTTAAAGCCTTTCTCAATTTTTTTTTTAAGGTTTCCAGTGGAGATCAGTCAGGCTTATCAGAGGTAAGACTATTGAAGACCGTGCATGGGCTTAAACTGTTCTCTTCCCTGTGTGAGCCACTGATGATTCCTTTTTAAATATTTTCTGACACCTCATCTGAGTGCTTTATGCATTTGCTGATGACTTATATCTGAGGCTCTAAAACAACTTTTTTTTGTTATAAAACTTAAATCTCCAACAGAATGTGTCTAATGTCTGTAGAAGTGTGGTCTTAGTGAGTCACAACTGATGTTCAGGGAATGCCAAACTGCCCAGTAACAATTGCTGCATTCACCAGAGCAAATAAAGTTCTGACTTAACTTCAAACTAAATTTTGGCCTCTTCGGGTTGTTGGACACAGTCACAATCTGCTCAACTGTGTAAAACTTTCTTACCGAGGCATTAACTATAAAAGATCTGATAGTGTTATAAAATAACTTTTTGTAATTTTTTTTTTTTTAAACTTTGTAATTGACTTGTGCAAAAATCGGTCTGAGCCAGTCTGTCCAAATCAATCCTTTAATCCACGCCAGGACAAATCGACTTTATATGTGGAATAAAATTTTGTTATGGACTAAATGGCTCAAATTGACTTTTGCTCAAGTCTTTGTTCCCTGACTTTTTTACATAAAAGTGTATAATGTATTTCCTGTCTTCTTAATATAGATAAGTCTTGCTGTAAATGTAATCCCTTGTCATTTGTACAAATGGCAAACCCTGCACCGTTTCTCTATATATATTGACCCTTGTGTAACTAAATGAAGCAGCATTGACTAGATAAGACATTATTGCTTCTGTAGAAGGGCTGCATCACTGTTCCTGACATGCACATGACTTTATATATATTTTTTTTCTTCAGGAAGTGTTTAAGATTGATACTGAAATTGAAGCTAGAGCACTGCTGAAACTGCATCTATGAACTCAACCGATGTACCAGTGAACCCCCACGTTTGTCGAGAAATAATTTTACATTTTAATCTTTCATACACACTTATGTGTAAAAGTCATTGACTTCCATTAAACTTGCATATTTCCAACTGCTTAATGCTTCCTTTATTTTAGCTGAATCTTAATTTCTAATGACTTATGAGCATTATGGTTTTGCCACTACCCATGGTCCACCTGGCATGTTAAAAATCAGTCAAAATCCATTCTCTTTAAGCACAACATTTTAAAATATTTATTGAAATATGTACAATGGTATGAACATTGAGCACTGTTAAAACACTAGCATCTTGGTAGAGGCATCCAGTCGGCTGATTTCCTGTTGTGGTCCAGTACTTGGTAGCTCCTTAAAATGGACACAGCAATATTTTGCACTAACAAAACTAATGAACCATACACATTTCATTAAACTGGAGAATCTACTCTTTATCTGGTTTTCTGTAACATTATTAAAACTCACACCTAGTTAATTAGAATAACTGCAGAAGTTTAGTTTTCTGGATGGCATTGTTGGGTAACTTAACAGTAGTGGGAACAGATGTGAAATTGGTACTTTAAGATGGAGCAGGGCCAATTCTAAAGGGTAAAGCTTCCTTTATTTTTGATGGAACTATGTGCAGTGGCTCTTGCTAAAACTGGTTCATAAGGGGCTTATCTGCCCCTTTTCACTTAATTCTTGCCCCAGCAGACAAATTAAAATCTCTGAAGGGAAGGCATGCCAAAATATAATTTTTATAAAATGTCCTAACTTCAACTAGTGTACACAATCACACATCACTTAAAAATGGCATTTCAGAATGGATATCTTAAAGGGAAGTCTGTGGCCTCAATGCCTTCTGGGATAATTTCATAAGTGATTTATCAGAGCTGTTCACTAGTGGGATAAAATGGCCATGCTGGAAGCCATTGTGACTTGGAGACCTCTTCCAATGTGGCCTTTAAAAAAGAGTTTGATTTAAGTTACTGTTCACTTTGTTTATTTATTTTTTTTAAAAGCCAACTGGATAGATATTAAAACTAACTAGTCAAATCTAAGTCTGTGCATCCATGGTGTGAATGTTAATTATCAGGGGAAAACTTTAGTTTTACAAGAGCATTTCAATGCATACTGGGGGTTTTAAGACCAATTTACAGCCATAATGGGAGGCGGCTCAGATTTTCCAAGTTATTAATTGCGTACACACTTTGTTACAGTTGATTGTAAATAGCATGATCTCTAAAAAAACTAGAATAAATTTTACAACAGACAATGATTTAACAGGACTGCATTTACAAAAAGTGTGCAGCCCAAAAAAGCAATTTAGCAGTCTGTTTTAAAGCCCAGAACTGTTCTTATGTGAACACAGAAGCCATATATGCACATAAAATGCACTACGTGTGCTGGCAAAATGACATCTAAACACAGAACAAGCAATGGTGTGACGTATTTTTAGAAGCACAGATCTGGCTGCATCTGAGAACGTTTGCAACTACGGTTCCTGATTCTCAAGTCAGTACACGACAATGCGGACTAGTACATTCATGGGTATTCTAAAGCCTAAATTGTGAAACACTTATTGACTTAGCATGGCTCTCATCATCCCAAAAAGATAAGATGTTACAGGCCTGCAATTGAAGATGGTTACTTTTTTTTTTTTAAATAGTCTCCATATTCAGAACTGAGCTCAGTAAGCGCTGGGCTTGCCAAAATTTCTCCTAGAGTTGGGCCTCTTGTGCTCCTATATTAAAAATGATTATTTTAGGTCAGTATTTGTTGCTGGATTACAATTCAATCTGCTACAAATGCTTTAAACCCTTCAGAGAGCCAGATAGGCAAGCAACACCTCAAGTTCATGCCTGTGGCATTTTTAAACAAGTATATCGCTGCATGCAAAATGTTAGCGTGATAAAACGTTCTTTTTCAGAAAGTTTAAACCCAACAGATAAGCCACCGCTCAAGACATGATATATTTTGTTGGCTGTGCATGTTTGGACCTAAGGCCCACAACCGATTTAGATGTCTTTTTATGCAGCACATCAGATCGCTACCCTCACAGATATATAAACAGAGACATGCACAGACAGAGATGCTCCCAACTCGGACAGACGCTGTGCAAGATGGCCTTTTGTAGGCTCCGGTGGAGACGCCACGTGTTCAAATCAGTCTTTGTACAGAATTCGGTGCTCCAGCTCCCCTGGAGATCATCCAATCAGGATTTACAACAACCAGAACCTTTCACCTCCTTTTTAACGTAGTCATGAAGTTTGAATTTAGGCTCATTGGGGGTCTTCATTGATCTGTGTTTCAGTTCTCTGGTAGAGGTGGAATCATCGCAGATAAAGACAAAAGTAGATGGGGGGGGGAAAAAATAAAATTTATCAGCAGAGACATGGTCACCTTATTGTATGTCTAGCTTGTGTCACAATTACTGGTACATTTTATTTACCCACTGTACAATGCTGTAGAAAATATTATTTATAATCAACGGGCATATTATACCCCGAGGCTGGATAGGCACATAATAGTTCAGGAGCACTGTGTCTTAAAGAGAGTTTGGAAATGTAGCTATGCCAAGATAACTTGCCTTATTCAATAAATACTGTCCTTTGGTGCTCACTTCAATGTGAATTGTCAGGAATTCAAAGTGCATTCTAAATGAATTTCACATATTTTAAGACAAACTGAACATATTTTAGCTATATTGAGCTAAAATGTTAAATTCGGTTTAAATTTCCCAAATATTTACAGAATTATTCACTAAAGGGAGAATTTGAAATTAATTTAGAAAACCAAGAATTATCACTTCACTCTTGCCAAGTGCTCTAGTGACATTCCTCTTCATTTCACCAGTGTGTGGCGGTTGGTTGGACAGTTTTAGCGGATTGATACTTGCTACCTTCAGACCTACAACGGCATCAACTTACTTTGCTATAGCAGTAAAAGCCAGCTCCACGTTCAGCCCACTTTTGGCACTCGTCTCCATGAATGGCACACCATACTCCTGCAAAACACAGCATGTTGGTTATCCAGTGGTCAGTATTGTATGCCAGTCCCAGTCTCATATCTAATGGTCAGTACTGTACGCCAGTCCCATATATCTAGTGGTCAGTACTGTACGCCAGTCCCAGTCTTATATATCTAGTGGTCAGTACTGTACGCCAGTCCCAGTCTCATATATCTAGTGGTCAGTACTGTACGCCAGTCCCAGTCTCATATATCTAGTGGTCAGTACTGTACACCAGTCTCAGTCTCATATATCTAGTGGTCAGTACTGTACGCCAGTCCCAGTCTCATATATCTAGTGGTCAGTACTGTATGCCAGTCCCATATATCTAGTGGTCAGTACTGTACGCCAGTCCCAGTCTCATATATCTAGTGGTCAGTACTGTACGTCAGTCCCAGTCTCATATATCTAGTGGTCAGTACTGTACACCAGTCCCAGTCTCATATCTAGTGGTCAGTACTGTTCTGTACTCAGCCTCATGTTTCAAGTGGTCAGTCAATGCTTTAAACCACTGGTTCCCAAACCAGTCCTCGTGGCCCACCAACAATCTCGGATTTAAGTTTTTCCCTGTTTAATTCCAATGAGATACTGAAAAACCCCTGGGCTGTTGATGGGTCATGTGAACTGGTTTGGGAACTACTGCTTTAAACCCAACACCCTCACCAACCCTAAAAGAGGAGTAGATGACAGGCAAATGGTAAAGGTGAAACAGGCAAGATGACAACTTCAGCTTTGTATACAGGGAGTGCAGAATTATTAGGCAAGTTGTATTTTTGAGGATTAATTTTATTATTGAACAACAACCATGTTCTCAATGAACCCAAAAAACTCATTAATATCAAAGCTGAATATTTTTGGAAGTAGTTTTTAGTTTGTTTTTAGTTTTAGCTATGTTAGGGGGATATCTGTGTGTGCAGGTGACTATTACTGTGCATAATTATTAGGCAACTTAACAAAAAACAAATATATACCCATTTCAATTATTTATTATTACCAGTGAAACCAATATAACATCTCAACATTCACAAATATACATTTCTGACATTCAAAAACAAAACAAAAACAAATCAGTGACCAATATAGCCACCTTTCTTTGCAAGGACACTCAAAAGCCTGCCATCCATGGATTCTGTCAGTGTTTTGATCTGTTCACCATCAACATTGCGTGCAGCAGCAACCACAGCCTCCCAGACACTGTTCAGAGAGGTGTACTGTTTTCCCTCCTTGTAAATCTCACATTTGATGATGGACCATAGGTTCTCAATGGGGTTCGATCAGGTGAACAAGGAGGCCATGTCATTAGATTTTCTTCTTTTATTCCCTTTCATGCCAGCCACGCTGTGGAGTACTTGGACGCGTGTGATGGAGCATTGTCCTGCATGAAAATCATGTTTTTCTTGAAGGATGCAGACTTCTTCCTGTACCACTGCTTGAAGAAGGTGTCTTCCAGGAACTGGCAGTAGGACTGGGAGTTGAGCTTGACTCCATCCTCAACCCGAAAAGGCCCCACAAGCTCATCTTTGATGATACCAGCCCAAACCAGTACTCCACCTCCACCTTGCTGGTGTCTGAGTCGGACTGGAGCTCTCTGCCCTTTACCAATCCAGCCACGGGCCCATCCATCTGGCCCATCAAGACTCACTCTCATTTCATCAGTCCATAAAACCTTAGAAAAATCAGTCTTGAGATATTTCTTGGCCCAGTCTTGACGTTTCAGCTTGTGTGTCTTGTTCAGTGGTGGTCGTCTTTCAGCCTTTCTTACCTTGGCCATGTCTCTGAGTATTGCACACCTTGTGCTTTTGGGCACTCCAGTGATGTTGCAGCTCTGAAATATGGCCAAACTGGTGGCAAGTGGCATCGTGGCAGCTGCACGCTTGACTTTTCTCAGTTCATGGGCAGTTATTTTGCGCCTTGGTTTTTCCACACGCTTCTTGCGACCCTGTTGACTATTTTGAATGAAACGCTTGATTGTTCGATGATCACGCTTCAGAAGCTTTGCAATTTTAAGAGTGCTGCATCCCTCTGCAAGATATCTCACTATTTTTGACTTTTCTGAGCCTGTCAAGTCCTTCTTTTGACCCATTTTGCCAAAGGAAAGGAAGTTGCCTAATAATTATGCACACCTGATATAGGGTGTTGATGTCATTAGACCACACCCCTTCTCATTACAGAGATGCACATCACCTAATATGCTTAATTGGTAGTAGGCTTTCGAGCCTATACAGCTTGGAGTAAGACAACATGCATAAAGAGGATGATGTGGTCAAAATACTCATTTGCCTAATAATTCTGCACTCCCTGTACGTAGCTAACATTCTAGCTTTAATATCTGACTTTCTTACTATATTTCAGAGCATATTAAATACTAAACTGAATATCGGGGGGAAATACTTAGTATTTATCAGTGGAACCATCAGGATCTGGGCTTTTCCCCTTGGATGCTAACTTGGGAGCCTTTGGAATTTCTCCAGGGATAAACAGAGCATCTAGCATGCCCAATATATTATCTGGAAGGGAGGGCTGAGTGTGAGCTTCTAAACATGTTTGTAAAGAATGGGAATTATTCAGGGACTTAGATATGTTATAAACATTCGAGCATGGTTAGACAACCTTCAGCACTCCATATGTTGTAGACTACATCTCCCCTGATGCTTTGCCAGCATTATGGCTGTAAGCATTCTGGGAGATGTAGTCCACAACTCCTGCCGAAGGTTGTCTAACCACTACTCTAGAGTAATAATCCTGAAAGGCTTTCGCTACCAGGTTAGTGGCATGCATGGTATCTCCCTTCTGGTTTATTATTTTCTTAATTAAAGGAACCCTATAGGATCAGGAACACAAGCATGTATTCCTGACCCAATAGTGCTAAACCCACCATTAAGGTGGCTGCCCCCCCTCAGCCCCCTTAAAAAGAATTAAAACTCACCTTATTTCCATCAGAATTGCCCATTTTTAACCAATATAGCTTGGTAAAATCGTCAAGGAGGCAGGATGGGGACGGCCAATCAGCACTTCTTCATAGAGATGCATTGAACGGCAGAGCTGCTTACTGTGCAGCACTGAGCCAGGAAGCACCTCCAGTGGCCATCTGAGGAGTGGCCACTTGAAGGTGTCCCTAGGGGCAATGTACAGGCAGTGTTTGCATGAAAATGCCTGAAGGCAATGATTATTCTCACCAGAACAATTACATTAAGTTGTAGTTGTTGTGGTGACTATAGTGTCCCTTTAAGGGTTGCAGGTGGGGATCTTTTAGTGCCCTATACAGGAGAAAACCACATTTATTACCCTTGACATAATAAGATTCATAGTTTCTATTTTAATTACGTACATGGAAACTGTACGCGTAGGAATAGTTTTATATGTGACTGCAATGCCCAGATTATACATGTCCTCGGCAGAGATTTTATGTGTGACTGCCATTTCCAGATAAGGTGGCAAAATGAATCAAGGGGGTGACTCAAAAACTAGACTGAACTGGAGGGATCAGCCAAAATAGTCCAGCTTCCAGGAGAGAGAGCAATATCCTTGAACTCACCTTTGCTAACCTCTCTCCGTCTTCAAGCTTCACCACCCGTTCATGAGCAGAATCGACCTACGGTAAGAAGATTTCAGGGAAGGTAAAGTCAATACTGAGCTGCGCCTGATATCCAAAAATTAATCACAGCCTACATTTTAGGGTAACATTTTTTTAAATTTTTTTAAGCAATTTATGGGAGAAGTATAATCAGATGTGGTCATGGATGAATGAGGACCATTGTCATATTCTGCAGGTAGACTGGAAGAGTTAGTATAATGCCAACAGGAGTTTGTTTGTTTGTTTGTTTGTCTCTCCTGGTGCAGTGTACAGGAAGAGGGAGATATGTGCCAGAGGAGGGAGATATGCGCCAGAGGAGGGAGATGTGCGCCAGAGGAGGGAGATGTGCGCCAGAGGAGGGAGATGTGCGCCAGAGGTGGGAGATGTATGCCAGAGGTGAGAGATGTGCACCAGAGGAGGGAGATGTGCGCCAGAGGAGGGAGATGTGCGCCAGAGGTGGGAGATGTGCGCCAGAGGAGGGAGATGTATGCCAGAGGTGGGAGATGTGCGCCAGAGGAGGGAGATGTGCGCCAGAGGAGGGAGATGTGCACCAGAGGAGGGAGATGTATGCCAGAGGTGGGAGATGTGCACCAGAGGAGGGAGATGTGCACCAGAGGAGGGAGATGTGCGCCAGAGGAGGGAGATGTATGCCAGAGGTGGGAGATGTGCACCAGAGGAGGGAGATGTGCGCCAGAGGAGGGAGATGTGCGCCAGAGGAGGGAGATGTGCACCAGAGGAGGGAGATATGTGCCAGAGGAGGCTCAGATCTATCTTGTTTCCTTGAATAGTAAGGAATTACATGTTCACAATATGTGTTCTGCTGCTAGAGAACAGGATGACTATACAAGAGCACAGGAGGAAAGAGTCTGTACCAGATAAATAGACACAGATCTCCACTCTCTCCAACTCAGCAAAGGAGAGAAAACTACTGATCACCCCGTCATCAAATGTCCATCTTCAACTTCCCAAATCCAGGCTACTCAACTAGTTCTTAACCATTTAAAAAAATATTTGCACAACACTTAGAAAAAGGATTTTGCTCACAGTAGTGGCGTAAAGACTGGCAAAGCATCATGGGAGTTATAGTCCTTTAACAGCTAAAAAGGGGCTACCCACATCTGTGTCTTATGGGTATAGGTTTTTTCAATTACTTTTTTTTTTTTTTTTTTAAGATTTTTGTGCCAGGGCTCCAGGAGACCGTAAAATAGAAAATCTACGTCTGGAGGCCCAGCAAGCTGTAAACGTTGATGATCTCTCCAAAGCAGCAATTCAGTGACTAGTCACGAGTGTCTCCACTTCGATGTAACGCGTGAACACATGTTTTATGCATGGCGAGCTTTCAAATAAATGATGAATATTTAACAGAAGCTAAAGTATTTTACAACGACTGCCTGGTAAATCTATTACGGCATTAGGAAAAACACGGACAGAAGATTTCGCTGTTAACCCTTTTAGTACAGGATGGGAGATTTTATTTTAACATCTTAAATGACGCTCTACAACTTAATGGGATAAACGCAATGGATCTGACTGTTCTTCCAAGCAGTGGGATATCCGCTAACTATGTGATTTGTAACTTGATACGCCATATTTCTTGTCGTCAAACATAGTCTTTTTTTTTTTCTTTCAGAACCACTATTGGAGTTTATTTATTAAACAGTGGACTGCGAAGAACTGAAAGGGATTTGTAAACTTTAAATTGAAATCGTTACGAGCGTCTGTGAAATGATGTTTTTGGTTAAAGGAGAAGTATCACTTCTCTGAAGGTGAATACTACTGAAATATCAATTCAGTACATTCAGATATGAGTAACGTCATCACACCACAATGGTCACAATGCATTTTATGTGCTAGTTAAGTAACCATGTGTGCATGCGAGTTTGGGCATTCCTTCCTAGCGGCTGTGCGCATGCATGTGCCCTCACAGTGCCATCAGCTGTTCACTGGGATATTACAAAATAATATTAGTTACGGTGGCAGTGGACATGATGCATTAGATTGTTATATATTCCTCCCATTTTAGTATTATTGTGATTTCTGATGAAGATTTTTCAAAGGGTTGCAGCAATCAATTGTTTTTTTCTGAACACAGGAGCGTGGAACCTCCAAGAATTTCTAACTTTATACAGAAAAAGCCAAAGTGTAAAATTCTTCCTTTCTACTAGTTTTCCAGCGTGTTATTTTGGCCGACATCATCTAATTCCCTTTTTATTTCTCCACAACTTTCAATTAATGAATAACTCACTCACCTTACCTCTCAATGAAAAATGAAAAGTGCTTTTAAATACTTTTTATACTATGTTATAAAGCAGAGTTTTAAGATCCACAGAACCTGGGTAAGAAGTCAGACCATTCTAAAATGGTTTCAATACTTTCATGTGGTCCGCCAAGGCACCATAACCACTACATAGATTTGTAGTGGTTATGGTACTTTGGCTGCTACTTTAAATTTAGCATTGCTGGGTAATGATAACACCAATCCCTATATTATTTGCTTGGTATAGTTAAGTCTTTATCAAAGTGAGAGCTCACCTTGTTTCCCAGGAGCATGATGACCACATCTTTCTGTGCATATTCATGGATTTCTGTTAGCCAGGCCTACAAATTAATCACAGAGTTATTATCACCAGCAGAAGGATATCAGACACACTATACAAATTCCAGAAACAAAGAGAGAAAATATTAAAAACCCCATTGTATACATTCAGCAGCACAACTGACACATCATTCTCAGCCATCGTTGTAAGTATCGGCATAGCGGTCAGATCTGGGAAACACTCCCCAAAGACTAACTGAAACATAACCCCTACTATGAGCTATAGTGGTTATGGTGTTTAGATAACCCTTTTAAATCAATTTTCTGTGCAGCATGCATATTATTATACATCACTACTATTAGAAAAAAAAGAGATAATTTTAATATAAGTTTTTAACTAACAAATCATTTTTAGTAACAAGATTTGCAAAAGCATCACACCAGGATGAAATGATAGAATAAACACAGAACTATATAGAATTCACTCTTAATTTGGCCTAAAATTGGCAGATCTGGGGTTTTTAATTTAGCAGAGTTCACTGTTTAGTGGAATAAAACCCATTGGTCAGAATGAAAGCTTGTTTTCCTGCCTGTCTGTAGTTTTACATTTTGCCACTAGGTGGCAGTGGGCATGCAGCAATCATTAGCCTTCCTCATGCCTGTGTGGGCACTATCAAACAGCTATATTACAATATAGTTAGTCTATAATATACAGCTTCTAACAGAGGAGGGGATTTTGTAGAAGAAAAAGTAACATATTGCAAACTGATTTATGAAGCCGTCAAATTACGATATAACTTGCAGAAGGCATTCCGTGCTATATTTTGCAAAGCAATCAAATGGTTTAAATATCACAAAATGCAATAATTCAGCTCAAATGTATTAAAAATGAAACGTTTTTTTATTTTGCCGATTTACACTTCATGCTTAAAAGTCAATGATCCATAGATGGCACAATGCTACAAGGAGTATGAAATTATCGCATTATAATGGCAGTGATATTGAACGAAAACACTAGCAAAGACATTAAAAACCTTTAGTCTGTGAGTAATTAAATCTGTTGATTTTCTTAGAGTTGGGCCCCTCTAAATTATTTCACTTTTGTTCATTAAGATAAAAACATACACACACTCTCTCTCTGCATAATATAAATAGTACAATGTACACACAGAACACACACACGTACAGGCAGACAGTCACACCACACACACACACACACACACAAACACACGTACAGGCAGACAGTCACACACACACAACCCTGTTAGTACTGGGGTCTACTCTCAAGGTAGCATCGAGACATGCGTGGCCTGGACTCCCAATGGTCCTAGTGGCTGTTGAATGGTTGCCGATATTAATTCAGCCCCCATCAGGAGAGGGTCAAATTAAAACAGCAGCAACTGTATTTATCGGCTGCCATCCCCCTAGTGTATGTCCTGGTGCTGCCCTGTGATTAGGGGCATAGGACCTCAGGACCCATGAGAGCCTTGATTAAGCAGTCCAGGAAAATGCCTAACTGCATCAGTACCATTGCAAATAACAAGAACAACATGCCGCATTTTAATAAATCATTTGCCACAGAGAGATGTGGTTTTTATTCCCACTCCTGTCCTGTATGATTCTGCTGATGCAGATCCAATTGACTGTAATACAAGCTACCTGACTCTAGTGGGATTTGTTGTCTAATTCAAACCGTTTGCCCAGTCCACATAGCTGTTTCAATCTCTGTCTCTAAGTGGATGAAAGGTGACAGGCACGTCACAAAAATGTCTCATTGTACGAGAACAAGATCTCACCGTGAGGTGTCAGACACATACAGGCTCGCGCTTGAACAAATATAGCCATATTCCAACTGGGAAATATCTCTTCCGAACAGAGATATTAAAAATCACGGTTAATTGCTCTGTTTTCACACCATCTCAATTGCTTCTTGTGTTATTTGTTCAAATAGGTTTTATATATCTTGCAAGAGGATATCTTCAGTTCAATAGAACCTTGCGGCACAAAAACACTCAACCCAACACACCGAGGAGTCTATTCAAAAAGGTCCAAGTCGGCCCGAGATACATCCTTAGATGAAATCTACAAAGGTTTTTATTTCCTAGTTTTCTTTAAGCGTGTCTGCAGGAGAAAATAATCGAAGAAAACATCACAAATGTGAACCGCGGCCAGTTTGATGATAAATGTATTCAGACACCCACCAGTAACTGTACTTTAGAGAGATGTTCTTTATTTAAGCTCCATGGCCGAATCCTCTTGGAAGTCAAAAGGCAGCTCTAAACAACTCAAGGACATTCAGAGAGGCGCTCCAAAATTAAATTTGCTGAGCAGCAAAAGATACGAGCAAATACGGATAACCTTAAAATCTTTTATCCAATAAAGTATCCACATATGTAAAACAACACGATCCAGTACTATACAGTCGACGTTATAGACAGATACAGTCATTTTCACGTTATTCTTTTTTATGCATAAGGAAACAGTAACCCTAAACACAACATGTTAAAATAAATAATGCAAACTAAATATATAAATAGAAAAACTATATAAAGCAAAATTAGGATAACAAGCAGAAGCTACCAGTCAATAAGTAGAATGCACACGGGAAGCTGGTGCCACAGCTCTCGATACGTGAAAGCAAGTGACAAAGGCCCTACACACTCGCCTAAGACGCGATGGATCATGGCCTGATCCACCGGAGCATCCTTTCCCAGTGAGCACAGCATTCCTATGGACACCGGCCGCTGCAATATCGCGGTCCTTTGTAGCCCCACGTCTGGCAGCGTTGGGGTTCAAGCAGAGGTGCGTGTGTCGCCACGACATCGGTGCGCACATACGTTTTGGAACACAACCCCCCTCACTCTGTGATCTTCACACAAGATACGACCCTCTGCTAGAATGGTGTTCACCCAAGATATTTACGACCCTCTGCTAGAATGGTGTCTATTTTCTATCAAACCTGCGTCGTATCTGCACTCATGTCACTTTAACCCCTATATCACAACTCAACTTTTAATTCTATATGTCACCTTACTCAGAAATGCTTTAGACTTGAGAAAGGGAGGTTCTCCCGAAAGTTTGTCAATAAAAAATTAGATTAGAATTTTATCAGTTTTTTTACATTTACATCACTGGACTGTTAGGTATTCATGTCAGCAAGGAAAGAAAAAGTGAATGTTATGCTACATAAATACATATCTAACAATGGCCTTGATTTAATTTCTAAATAAGCTTTGCAAATTATTCAATATTTTTGGATAAACTTTTCAGATGATTCAATATTTTGAAAATAAATGCAATATTACGATTTTTAAAAATATATTAATGCTATATTTATACATAAATGATATTTTGAATATTTTAATATTAAATCAAGGAGTATAACGTTTGGTTTTTTTTGTAAAGGAGACAGACTTACCCTGATTGTAGGCCCTTAATTATTAAGTTTATATATAATTATTGAAAAAGATACCACAAGGTTGTGATAGTTAACTTGGAAACGCCAGAGGTTTCTGAACTGCATTTCACACGTTGCTCATAAACAGACCAAAAACATGTTGGTGTCGAGGTGAGCCATCACTGCCATATCTAACTTGGTGAAAATATAACACACACACAAGGCTATTTACTAAAACTGAGAATTCTAAATAAATTTTAAATTCAAGGCAAAAACAGCCAAACGTAAACATTCTCTAAATCAGCTGTGCTTCCAGTTTGGCTGCTTTGGCCTTACATTTGAAATCCACTTTGAATTCATGGTTATTTTTATTGGGTGAATTGCTAGAAATTCGTAGTGAATTTGAAATTTGAGGCCAAAAAAGCAGAATCGTCAACATATAACGTAACACTCAGAGTGGAAAAAGGGCCTTTCAGAGGTGCAATCAAGACATCAGAATAGTATATAGTGGTAGTCGTAGTCTCAAGGCAAACAAGCAAAAGCAAGGGGTGATTGGGTAACTGAGCATCCTGCAAAAATAGAGCTAACAAATGCCTGTTCGCATGTTAGTGAGTCACTTAGACATCAACATATAAACCCTCAGTGCTGTAATCCCCACTAAAGGAATGGTGCAAGTGATGGTCTAGCTTCGAGAGATGCTGCAATGTTGTATACGGTTATGTAAAATGAACACCAAGCAGTAATTTGCTATTTGTTTTATTAGATTTAGTATATATTTTATATTAGTTTGCTTTGTATTTATGCTATATAGAACATACACACATTTTTCTTTGCTAACATATATATTGTGCATATATAAATAGATTTTTTTTTGTAAATGTGTGTACATAAATATAAGCAAAAATAAAATATTTTTGTGATTTTAAAAAAAATAGTGATTTTGTGTCTGATTTAAACAAGTACTCAGAGCCATTTTTATTGTTCCCGATTTTACTGCACAGAGCAACTTTGAATGGACAACCAAATAAACCTTATTCTTGGCCTGTGGCAGCAATATATTAAAATATATGGCTGCAATGAAAACAGGCTTGCTGCGTTAGGTCTAATTACAGTACAAAAAAAAAAAATCTACATAAGTTTTATGGCTCTCTGTTTAGCTTTGGCTTTTCAGCCTCTTGTATTGAATAAAAACACTTTATTTTCATGCATCAAATAGGAGAGAGAAAAAGGGCAGTACTGCAGCTTCGTTTGTCTTGTACTTATTACATTTTTATGAGAATATGCCAATTTAACTCCAAAAATAAAGCCTTGGCAAATGGAAATCTTTGGTAGCCATCAAGTGAAGTCAACGTTTCATCAAGGCGAACATTACTCAACAAATGCCCTATTTGCCTACTACATTTATAAACTCAGTATTATTTCCTCACCTGTTCTTATTGTACTGGCTCTAAGCCCACCACTTATTATTTGATGCCTCTAGACCCACCACTTGTTATTCTACTTTCTCCAGCTCC